TTTAAGTATCATAGTACAAAAAAATGAGTGACTTATGATTAGCATGTGTGTGTGGCCAGACAGACTGCATGACTGTCCTGGGTCTTTACTAGTTGCTTTAGGCCGAGTCATTTCGGGTTCGATCAATTTAAGGGTTAAAAAAGATGACTTCTGAAATGTAATTGATTTACGGGCCAAATTTATTTCACTTATCAAATACTACGAATTTGAAGATAACAGGTATTTCTTCTTAAGAATACTGGAGTCACAACAAATGACACTTAATTTTATACAGCTTTCAATTATTTTGATGTGTATTCAAAAAATATTTTTTTGTTTCGTCAGTTTTATGAAATCAAACAATAATCACACTTGTTCAAATAAATTGTATATCCTTTCAACTTGAAATTAAGATGACATTTAATAGAGATCAAAACATTATCAAAAAATTAAGTTTTAACAAAAAAATGGCCGATTGGTTAACCATTTTCTCACATTCCTGGGATATATAATACTCCTCATGAAGCATTTTATATGCATTTTTTTGTATGCATTTTTGTGTTTTATTTGAACATAATGTATATTTCAATGTCGGTTTATTGTTATACACAGCTGGTTATATTGATCTTAACAGAAACATAGGATATTTTTATGTACAATATAATGATTTTTTTGGGATTTTTTTTGTTTGTTTGATAAATGGTGGGTATTGTTTTCATTTACAAAAAAACCAAACAATTTACATAACATGCTGAAGGACTTTAGGCTACTTATTTATTACTGCTTAAAGTTTTCTCAAAGTGGATTATACATTATGTTGTGACAATTTAAAACGATGTGTTAAACGGAGATTTTAAAATATCATAGGTGTTTTTTATCTTTTGAAGGATTAAATATTGTAATCTTACAAAAATGCATATATTTATATAATATTTTGTATATATAGCTGGTAAGTTGCTTAAAAGAACTCCTTTCTGAGTCAGTGATACAGAAAAAAACTTATGTAATAATTACATAACAAGTTTTTTTTGTAATAATTACATAACAAGCGTTTTCTGTATCAGACTCAGAAAGTTCAATTACAGTAATTGAACTTAACCTTTCAAGCTGGAGCTTATATATTTTATTTCTGTTCTCTATAGTAGATTTTTGATAAATTGTTGAATAGATTCCATTTATTTGATCATCGCTGTATGATCTGTAGGTAATTTATGTAATGTGAATTTTAATTGGCTTATGATCTGTTTTATAGCTTCAATAATATATACTTTAAAGTATTTATGAGAGTTTTATAGGTAATATATTTTTTTCTGACTGATGTTTGAAATCCTGCTGATTTTTTTTTCTCGCTGAGGAATTTCCATGTTTCCATGTTTTGTGTGTTTAGAGTGTACATGATTGTATAGTGTTTAACTCATAATATAGTAGGACAGATGCATCCCTAATAATATTTGCTTTCCCTTTGCATACGTTATGCAAATTTGGTTAATAAAATGTTTCTTACATATATAATTTACATACAAGTATCACATACATGTTTTATTAACAGAGATAAAATTATTTGAAGCAAATAATATTTATATGTCATTTAATAAGTACCCAGACAGATTTGAACCAGAAAATTTAAAAGAAATATTTGATATTGGCTTAGAATGTGGTCACATGCATGGTTCATAAGGGGCTTTGAATTGTATAAACACTTCACTGATGCAAGTTTGAACCCAGTCCCAGGGAGTATTGAACAATCAGTTAGTAGTCATTATATTGAAATTTTTCTCTAGAAATGATGAATGGTTTTATCCAGATTGAAAGATGGACAAGTTCGTTTAAGATCATAGGTGGTAATGGTTAATAAGAATATTGTATGGTCAAAATTAATTTGTTTTATTCTGAAATATGATTTACATGTAGTTTAAGAAATTTCATTTGCTATATTAAGAGGTATGAGATTTATACAGTTGAATTGTTAACAAAAGCACCCCCTGAAATGAGCCAATATTTTCTTGGTTTCAGGAAACTTTTGCCCGAATTCAACAAAGCAGAATAAGACAGAAAACAAAACAGTGTCCCTGACAAATCTGGAGTTATTTATTGTTTAAAGTGTCAGAGACAAAGTTGAAGAATAATTCTTACTTTCTATATTATGTGCATTGACATTAATTGTGCGCATACATGTGTTATATAGAGTGACCCCTATCCACGTATCATGTTGAACCTAATTAGAGATAATATTTTATAGGGAAAATCTGGAAATTTGCTTTTTTGAATGGTATACTGCTGATACTGAATGTATGATATTAGATTTTCTAAATCATGACCTGACAGATCATGAAGTGTATTATATTATATCTGAGGAATTATTTTTGCCCCCTGATCTTTAATTAATTTCACTCTGTATTCTATAATAGACCTCCTAAAATATTTTGACTTCTTGTTCGCAGTGAAGGTATGAATGAATTAAAGGAAAAGAGTTATTATGAATCACATTATTAATATGGTACTGTTGGTCTTAAGCGGATAAGGTGTCCGCCTTCGGACTGGGAGGTCGAAGGTTCGTGCCCCACAAGGAGCGTTAATTCAAGGATGAATGTTTCTTGTGGGACTCGTTCCCAAATGCCCGCTTTGTTAGCCGCGAGGTAGTTAAAATGAATGGGAACTGATTTCTATCCGCCTGGCGGCTGGCATAGTGGTAGGAGTTGGGAGGTACATGGTATGCAATTGAAGGTGTCTAATAAGTCAGAAATGGCTGGCCCTTTCAGTGGGGGTGACACTATTATAAACAAGACCTTGTACTTGTATATATGTACAATACATAAGTCATGATTAAAGATTCTTTATTGTTCCTAAATAGTAAAAGAATATTATACTAAGAAACCTGCACTGAAAGACTGCCTTTGTTATAGAACCATATTAAACCCTCCATACCTTCCCCTCCCTCAAGAGACCACTTGATATAAACATACATTATTTCCATTTCTGCAGGACTTGCAATTTTGGAATTACTGAATTCTATCAAGTGATTTTAAATCAGACTGGAGTTTTGTAGTATTTGTTTTACATAATACATTTCAACTCAGATGTCAGTTATATGATTTTGAATTAGTATCTGGATTCAAAATAAGTATCATGTCCACATGATGAAAAAGCTTTTAACCTAATTGCAACCTATTAAAGATTCTTTATTCTGTCTTTTTGAAGATGCAAGTAGAGTTTCGCTTTTTCTTAGCATTATCATGCATAATAAAGGATGAATAATCATGAATCACAAGACTTTTTTCTGTTAATTTGAAGACTGAATTGAAAGTTTACATTTATTCTTTCTGCAAAAAACTGGTGTCAAACTCTCTTAAAAAAAGGAGATTTCAAAAATCAATTTGTGTATATTAATGGTTGGACATTGGCAGGGGAATTGCAGGGGATTTGACTTTGGTAGTACTGTAAGACTGGTAAAAACAAGTGCCTGATGAGGACATACAAATTGAAAAATCCCCACTAAATGTCCCCAGCATTTTGAATTGGAAATATATCAGTTTCATTCTCGAGTTCCTAATTCAAAGCAGATCTGGATAAGAAGTCTGGGCTTTATTTCCTTCTCTTAGCAGGGCCCTTTTAAGGGAGGCTTCTTCAAAGAAAAAAAACTTTAAAATCATGCAGTTTTTTGTTGTTTTTTTTTCCAAAAATTGAATTTACATCAAGTTTTTTCTTCCCCTTTTACAAAAATACCATATTATTTTCACCCAAAATTAGGGGAAGGTCTGCTTCCCCAAGCCTGTAAAAAAAGCCTTGGAAGTTGTTTGAATTATTTGAAAATATGGTACAAAATTTTACGGAATTAGATCCAAAAAGGAATTTGAATGGGATACCACAATGGATGTAGTTTTGAAACTGCTTAGTTTCTCTAGACATTGCAGTGAGTTAGTGCTAATAGTCTTCAAGACTCTTGAAATATATATATGAAATGACTAAGTAAATGAAAATTCAGATCTGTGAGAAAACATGTATTTTTCTTGCATGGAAGTTATGGAAAATAAAATCAGATAAGTTTAATCTAATCTTTGGTGATGATAGAGAGATCCCAGCGTAAACAAGAATTCTGTGTATACATACTAGATATTGAAATACATGTTGAAAAATATCTGAAATGTTTATACATACAGTCACCATGCCTTCATACCCTTCACCCTGCTTCTGACGGCTACAGCATGTACCCCTTGCGATCAGTGCAAACCAAAGTCATGGTCTGCACAGTTCATCTTATTCAGTCAGTAAATCTATCAAAAAAATTTTCCTTAAAGTGATGGATGGTTTTGTTCTGATTGAAAGATTGACAATTTGATTTAGCTTAAGATATTTGCTTAGCCTTGTAAAGGTTAGAGACATAATTTGTTCTTGTAGGTACCTAACAAATGTAATAGATTTATCTAAGACTTTGCTCATCTTTACAAATAATATTATAGTCAGTCAGTCTGAATTCATTTTATATTTCCCTTTGGAGAAGGTTTTATTGTAATGTTGAATTTCTACACTTTCAGGAACATTTGACTTATGATAATATAAATAATATTCAATTAATGAGTCACCTGTGTCAAAGTTTTATCCAATTAATGAGTCACCTGTGGTCAGAGATTTATTCAATTAATTATTAAACCTGTGTTCAAAGATTTAATTAATGAGTCACCTGTGTTCAAAGATTTATTCAATTAATGAGTCAACTGTGTTCAGTGATGTATTCAATTAATGAGTCACCTGTGTTCAAAGATTTATTCAATTAATAAGTGACCTGTGTTCAAAGATTTATTCAATTAATGAGTCACCTGTGTTTAAAGATTTATTCAATTAATGAGTCACCTGTTTTCAAAGATTTATTCAATTAATGAGTCACCAGTGTTTAAAGATTTATTCAATTTTGAAGGTGGTCAAGAAAAGGATTACCTGGGTTTGACTTTATTTGTGAACAAGAAAAAAAGTTGCTTACAAGTTGGATGTTAATATAGACTGTATACCTTCTTATCATATTTCAGATGTCTCCAGTCCAAACAGTGAGCCCAGTCCACAGACATCAGCCCAGAGAAAAGCCCAACGTAGACTGACAAGGGAAGACAATCGCTATCATTCAGGTTAGTGAGCAAAATATTGACAAGAGTTACGTTTTCCTTTTTGTTATATTTGCAGTGATATGGCTGGGTAAAACAGGGTTCCTATTGCATATTGTAGAAGCTAAATATTTTTTTGTGACTGAGCTATTTCCTTCGAATGAACTGTCTTATCTATAATGATAAGTTATATTATTTGGTTGCAAGTGCTATACAATTCAAACTAGACTTTAAATGGGATAGAAATTTGTTAGATTAAAATAATAACTTAACCAGCGACCTGTTAAATTTGTGTAGTGGAATCGCCCTGCTTTGAATTTAAAGCGGCCTTCAGCTTTTATTTTTTTGCTGGAAAAACCATTCTGTGCTGTTTCAAACTCGACATTTAAGTAACATTACCTGGGAAAAGTGCAACTAGTGTTAAGCCCTAGAGTTATTTATAGCTCACAGTGATGTTCTTTTATAAAAATAGCTTGAGATACGAATCTTACGTTTTACTAATTTATATAAAGAGAGTGGACCGGTAGATTGAAATTTTTAATCTAAAAGTAACATTATTATTTAACCTAAGTTAGAAAAATACAAAAGTAAATCAAAGGAAGGAGAGAATACACATCAAACATCAGGATGGTTTATAACTGGTTTATTCTAGGATCTACGGTTTCGGTCTTTCAAGACCTTCATCAGGATGAAGTTAGAAAAGCTGAAGGCCGCTTTAAAGTTTAAGGGATATACAAAAATATCGTAATCATCAGTATACAACCTGGTCGTACTGCACAGATATGTATGTGGCCTGGCACAGGATGGTGTGCAGACTCGCCTGGCTCTATACTGGTGGCAAAGGCTCATCACTTGGTTCAAGCATTTTAACTGAATTATGAGAAAATAGAATTTATTCTTTTTGTTTTGGTCTAGTTTGGATTCATTTTATGATACATTTCATTTGTTTGGGGTTGATTATGACTGAGTAGGCTTGAAGGAATTTGCATGTTTGGCACTCATTTTCACGGTACATTGTACATATCAAAGGTGCAGGATTGTGATGTTTAGCATTATTCTTGTTTATGAAAGTCCTAGGTCCGTCCCTCTTGAAAATACACAAGAAAGAGAAAAAAATACACACAACCAGTCTAAAAAAAATGGTGTTCTGCCATTGGTCAGTTTGAATTTCAGTTGTAAATTATCATCCAATCAGATGCCAAGTATTTGGTAAGGAGACTGGGTCTCAAATTTTCCTTTTACCCTTCAGACCTTGATAATATTTTGTGAAACAACAAAAAAATCATGTCTAAGTATGTGCACAGCTAGTAACCCTTTGTGTTCAATGTTGCCCTAGAAAGTAAATTAATAAATTATTTTCACACATTTCTTGAGAAAATTTTCCCTCTAATAGCATTGCTTTTTCTGCTTAAACTAAAATTGAGAAAACCTAAATGACCTTTCGTAAGGGTCACACAATTCCATACTGAAGAAAAACAATAAAAATTATTTTATGTCCAAAGACCTACCTATTAAAAAAATTCATGATTTATGATGATTTCCTGACTGTCTGGCATTCGCTTTTATATTAAATGTTGTACCAAGAAAAAAATTCCATCTGTAGAGTTTTAAGACTATGAAATATGAGGGCGGGTCAATTAAAACATTATCACATCCTGGTTACAAGGTGATTTGTTTTCTATGGTGGTTTTATTTACAATAAAAGTATGGACCTGACTGCAAGACAATTAACTTCTTTTATATAAAATTCAAAAAGAAGAGTCCCCTTGCCAGGATTCTAGACTTGCAGTCTCAACTTATAGGAAACAAAGTTCTGACAATGTCAGTTAAATGACATTTGTTGAAAGAATCAATTTGATACTGGTTGAATTCATCAAAAAAAAAATTCCAGAAAAAAAAAATTGAAACAAAAAAAAGCTGAATTGGCAAAATGAGAGAAAAGCTGAATTTGATTAATTTCATGGAAACATTGGCTAGTGAGAGTTTTATCAAAATTTGATCAGAGCTTTGGTTTTTGTCCTTCATCTACCCCAGTATATCTAATTCAAATTTGCTTTGTATTATTTGGGAAATTTATAATATTTGGAGTATTATCTTCATACATCTGTGCTTTATTGTTAAATATACCACCATTCTCTAGGTTTTTCTATCCTTTACACATGTTTTAACCCAATACCATCACCAGATTTGAGCCTTGTCATGACAAAACCAACATAGTGGGTTTGCGACCATCATGGATCCAGACCAGATCCATGCTGTTCCCTATCAGTTTCTCTACTTGTAGGGTTTGTAAGCGAACAGCATGGATCCTGATCAGACTGCGCGAATGCGCAGGCTGGTCTGGATCCAAGCTGGTGGCAAACGCACTATGTTGGTTTTGTCATGACGCAGCTCATTTTTGTATTGCACTATATACATCTTGGCTATTGGCTTACATTTTGTAGAGATTCGCACGGAGGCTGTAATGCAGGCCCTTGCGGCTCACAGTAAGAAAATCCCAGTCATGCCCTTACCCTCCAAGAGAACGTCAGTAAATTATCATGGTCAACAGAGACAGAGAGACAGTCGGCAAGGTAAGGGCCATTTTTTTAGGACACACGTAGGTTCATAATCTAGGACAAAACGGTGTCAAGTAGACTGGCTTGTAAATAGATGTTATCGGGAACCTCGGCAAATGTTGGTTTTTCCCAGCTAATCCCCCGGTACAAAGTAAAACAAATTTTTATTGTTATTGCTTCATAGTGTACTTCTTGTCGAAATAAATTTATCATGCAGTTGCGCTTATTTTGAAGCTGTAACTTTAAAAGTTTGTTTCTTGGATTAGCAGGGAAAAACCCAAAATATTCTGACTTCCGGAGTTAGTCTATTGTTTCACATTGAACAGTAGTTTAGAAAAGTAGCAAGGTAAGGGTTAATTTTCATTTAGGAAAATGAGTGTGGGTTAAAGGTCAATGGATTTAGTGCACGGCTGTAGACGACAGAACATTATTTAATAAGGGTTTAAACTATAAAATTGGAAAATAGTACCAGTAATTTCTGCACTAAAAAACTGTTTTTCTAAATATTACTTCTGAATGTTGAATGCTTATGATTTAGTTGACTATTTTATTGTGAATTGCTGTCAGACCTTTATTTTTATTTTCTTTTTCAACTTATTTAGGTTTATAATATATTTGCTTAATGTTTTTCCTTTTTAGAATAAATTAAATACCATTATTAATTGATAATTATATAGATATAATTATGAAAGCCTTGGCCGCTGTTACCCACAATGGCCTAGAATGGCCTAAAAGTATCACTATTAATTTTTTGTATTCAATATTAAGTAAGAGAAGATTTGCTATAAATATCAAAAGATCCCAGCATAGCTCTAGTTTTTAGCTCGACTATACGAAGTATATGGAGAGCTGTCCTACTCGCCCCGGCGTCGGCGTCCGCGTCCAGATTTCAGATTAAAGTTTTGGTGCAGTAAAATATTTTTCACTATAACTTTGTCATTTCTTAGGTATCAACTTCAAACTTAAAATATGAGCCGTGTCACGACAAAACCAACATAGTGGGTTTGCGACCAGCATGGATCCAGACCAGCCTGCGCATCCGCGCAGTCTGATCAGGATCCATGCTGTCCGCTATCAGTTTGTCTACTTGTAATAGGGTTGGTAAGCGAACAGCATGGATCTTGATCAGACTGCGCGGGTGCGCAGGCTGGTCTGGATCCATGCTGGTCGCAAACCCATTATGTTGGTTTTGTTGTGACGCAGCTCATATATGTTCCTTATCATCAACCCCATCTTATGTGACAAGGTTCATAACTCTAGCACCAATATTTTCAGATTTATCTCCCCTTGAACTTAGAATGTTCCTCAAAAAATACTATTTTTTACTGTTACTTCTTTATTTGTTAAGGGATCAACCTCATACTTCAAATATATGTACGTTATCATCATCCCCATTTTATGTGACAAGGTTCATAACTCTAGCACCAATATTTTCAGATTTATCTCCCCTTGAACTGAGAATTTTCCTTAAAAAATACTATTTTTTACTTTTATTTCTTTATTTGTTAAGGGATCAAACTCATACTTCAAATATATGTATGTTATCATCATCCCCATCTTATGTGACAAGGTTCATAACTCTAGCACCAATATTTTCAGATTTATCTCCCCTTGAACTTAGAATTTTCCTTAAAAAATACTATTTTTTACTTTTATTTCTTTATTTGTTAAGGGATCAACCTCATACTTCAAATATATGTACGTTATCATCATCCCCATCTTATGTGACAAGGTTCATAACTCTAGCACCAATATTTTCAGATTTATCTCCCCTTGAACTTAGAATTTTCCTTAAAAAATACTATTTTTTACTTTTATTTCTTTATTTGTTAAGGGATCAACCTCATACTTCAAATATATGTACATTATCATCATCCCTATCTTATGTGACAAGGTTCATAACTCTAGCACCAATATTTTCAGATTTATCTCCCCTTGAACTTAGAATTTTCCTTAAAAAATACTATTTTTTACTACAGTCAACTATCGTTATCTCGACATCGCTTTTCTCGATATTTCGTTATCTCGATGAAATTTTGAAAGTCCCGATTTTCTTCCTTCTTTATCTTTATTGGAAATATTTGTTTATCTCGATATTTCTATTTCGATATTTTCAGTATCTCGATGTAAAATTTCAGCCCAAACAGTTATTTTCACACTATTATCCTTTGTTTATCTCGACTAATATTTTCTTTCGTCTGTTCCCTTCAGACGTGTGAAAAACACAATCTAGACGATAATTGCTCAATTAATAGCGCATGTCATAATGACAATTATGTTTGTAACAAGTTAAGCTGTTTTTATAAAAAGTAATCTATTTAGCGTGTTGATTGACTTATGTCCAAAATGAATGGATTTTACATTCTTTTTAAATATTCGAACACTGTATCAATTCATTATGACTTTAAATGTAAATGAAATAGTGAAAGTATAGAAACGCTATCGTTGCAATATTGTTTCACAACATCACCACCAAATCAATCAGTGGTCGAACAATCTCGAGAAAGACCCGATAAATAACCCGGGAGGATATCCGAATCAACCATATCCGATATCCGATTCACTATATTAGTGTATTACTGAGTAAACCTCACTATGTGTTTTTATCACGGACACCCGTATTCCCGCTAATGTTACTTTGTTAAATATTGACTAGGCCTATGAAAACAAGACATAGGGATATTAAAGTTTATTTGACATAAGGTATGCACATGTCTTTTGTAAAAATCAGTTTCGCCTTGTTTAAACCCTAATATGTTTATCTCGACATTTCGTTATCTCGATATTTTTGGACGGTCCCAATGACTTCGAGATAACGAGAGTCGACTGTATAACTTTTTTAGATTTAAAGGTATCTACCTCAAATTTCAAATACTTATTCCTTATCATCGATTACATTTTATGTGACAATGTTCATAACTCTTGAAGCAATATTTACAGATTTATCTCTCTTTGAACTTAGGATTTTCTTTAAGAAATAATTATTATAACTTCTTTTCTTTTTAAGGTATCTACTTCAAACTTCAAATATATATTTCTTATCATTACACACATGTTGTGTGACAAGGTTCATAACTCTAGTGTGACTATTTCTAGAATTATTCCCCTTGATCTTGGAATTTATGTTAACAGATGTTTTTTTACTATAACTTAATACATAATTATACATAATTGATTTTTCTTTCATAGTTTTGTCCTCCTTACTGCGTCCAGTATTTTATTAGTCGAGCTTCGCTGTCTCCTGTGACAGCTCTTGTTTGGTCTGTGCTCGTGGTAAGTTTTGAATATGGAAGATTGTGAAAAATGATAGTCCGGAAATGACCAATTTGTTTTGATGTTGGTCAATGTAAGAATTTTTTTTGGCAGGAGAGCACTGCAGTAGGACTGCCTTAAAATGATGACTAGATTTGAAATCAGATTTCCTTGCATTGAAAGAGAAACAAGGTCATTTAAGATATTTAACATGGTAAAAGAAAGAACTGTTAGTAATATCAAGTGATGTAAGAATATCAAAAGATGATTAATATAGGTTTATAGCTTTGATCAACTTATCTCCCTGTGCCATCAGGATGCTTTTATATCTAAACTTGAATTTTTCTTTGTATGCCTGCAATGATATAAATAATTTCTCTTTATTTTATGTTATTTGATTAAATGCTGATATATTTTTCTGATAACAGCATGTCTTTTGAATATGTGGTACAAAAATGTGTTTGAACTATGGTAATATGTATTTAATCTTAAAAGATGACTTCCTATTGTTGTTATATACCATACTTTAATTAAACTCTTTCATCATCAATTAAGACATGGTAGCTTATAATCTAAGGAATGATAATTATGGGTAAAAAGGAAACAGTTAATTTCTCTATTTGCAGGATCACAAGACAGAATATTTGCTTTATTATAAACTTTTCAATAAAATATTGATGACATAAAATGCATATTTTCATTTTCACAGTTAAAACTTATTTTTCACTGCAATTTATCCATGTTTTCATTGGTGTCTTGCCAGACTACTTTCTTCTAAATTCAGCCAATACACAAAAATAAAGGGAAATTCTTTCCAATTGTAGGGTAAAGAAAAGGAAAAAGTATATAATAAGCAGAAATTTCAAGTTTTTGCGGAGCACCTTTAAGAAGTGATTTCCGCAAAAAAAAATTTACTTGAGAAAGTAGTTGATTATTTTGTTCAGATAAAAATCAAGTTTCATATTAAATTCCTTTTTTTTTCATTGATTGTAAATATCTTAAACTTTAGAGCTATAATTATATAAATCAGTCATTTAAGTTGACCTTTACATTTTAAATTCGACCTTTACATTTTAAATTTGACCTTTTCCTTTCTTCTAACGTATTTCAGAGTCCTCCTCAGATGATGATAGTATATATGATGAAGAGGCCAACAGAAATTTCCACCGAGGGGCACGATCACGAGACAGCGGGGCAAGTTCTTCATCCTCCTTTTCTGATGTCAGTGCCTCACCCCGTCACTCGGAGAGACCAAGGAGTGCCGCATATGTTAAATATCAGATTCCTGGAAACACGTCGCGTCAGGCGCTAGCTGATGTGATGCAGAGTGCCAGACATTGTAAGTTTTATGTGGTTGTTTTTATATAATTTCCTTCAAATGGCACTAACTTGGTCAGTTTGTAGTTAAACGTCACCTGATTGGTCAGTTAATATTAAACATCAGTTGATTGGTCAATTTAAATTGAACATCAGCTGTTATGTCAGTTTGGAATTGAACATCAACTGATTAATCAATTTAAAATTAAATATCAGCTGATTGGACATTTAAACTTAAACTTCACCTGATTGGTCAATTTAAAATTTAGCTTAATCTGATTGGTCAGTTTGAAATTAAATATTGGTTTGACCAGTTGCATATACGCAATATGATATTGATGTCAAGTTCCTCTTCATATAAACATGAACATTTTTCTGCCTTTTTCCTGTAGAGGCAGATTTAGGTTGATGGATTAATCTTATCAAAGAATTCCCAGGCCGAGTTTTCTAGAACTTAATTTTTATTGACAACTCCGAAGATACCTCTTTTATTTTCATCATTTTAGTTTATTCACAAATGCATGTCGAAAATGCTGCAATTTGAATTTTTATCTAAAAATTTCCATTTTGATCAAGTGAAATGCATTTATGTATATTTCCCCTGGGATTATTATTTTTTTTTTATTTTATGTGAATCAAGCAATCTCTCATTATTTTACATATATACTGAAAATTAGTAATAGTTTTATTATTTATATTAAATGACATATTTTAATGTTGTGTTTAGCTCTTTTTTTCAGAGAAAAATCATTTAATATTCTCTAGACTATGTATTGTTTTAATGTTACCATAGGTATATTGCTAGCAAGGGTGTAAAAATGTGTGTGACCACAGTCACGCCTTTTCCCAGTGTCACCATGGCACCATGGGTCAGATTACCAGAAACTTTCTGAATTGCAGATATGCTATATTTTTTACCAATCTTTAAAAAAAAAATCCCAAATCTTGATATCAAAAGTTACAAATTTGTTGCAGTTTATTTCAGTATGGTATCAGACAGATGTTTCTAAACATTTCATTGTCAGATTTTTATGCATTTTTATTATGTTTTGAATGATATTTGCATTGGTTGGAAAAAAACAGTTTTGCACAATTCAAAAAACTAGGCCAAAAAGAGCATGAAGGAGGTTTCAAAAGGTCCAAGATATTAAATATGATTTTGATGGTGATGACTGATGGATGGTTTGTGTCAGATTGGTTAAGGTCATTGTTTTCAAATCACTTGCCTGTCACTGCTGTATGTTTGAATCCCCCCTAGGGACTTAAGATTCTCTAATATGAGGAAGCTATCTAGCTAGCTTACAGAACTTCGGCGGCTCTACTCAGGTGCCCGTTCATGCCTGAAATAATGCACAGAAGGGCACCAGAGGTCTTCTTCCACCAGTAAAAGTTGGAAAGTTGCCATATGACCTAATATCTGTATTGGTGTAACATAATACTCAATCCCCCAATGATTGCTGATTTAATTTTCTCATCTTCGATTATTTTAGCCCAGCATATATCGCAGCCACCAGATGTAACCAACAACGCCAAAAGTAGCCGGCAAGCTGACAGGGTCGGTAGAGGTGTACCGTCGGTCCGGGTTGCTGGGAACGTAGGAATGGACCTTGACAGTGACTGTAAGTATTTACTGACTTTAGCCCTGAACCGTTTTAGACAGCAGCAGGTTTTTTTAGTTTATGCTGAATATATTTAAGTTTGAATGTGTTGGAAGCTATAAGGTTATTGAAACAGGCAGCCAGAACTAAGCAATGAGTTAAGTTTCTAGAAAAGCAGTTTTAAAGTGGATATTTAGATAAGAAACTATGCATACAAACATTAATTTAATGTTATTTGTATTTGAAATATAATACTTTCAACAAATATGGCTCTGTATTTTTATGCTCCCCGAAAAAATTTCGGGGGAGCATATAGTCGCCGCCTTGTCCGTCCGTCCGTCCATCCGTCCGTCCGTCTTTCCGTCCGTCCGTCCGTCCGTCCGTCCGTCCGTCCCCTTTTCTTGTCCGGGACATAACTTTGTAACAACAAGAGGTATCAACATGAAACTTTGTAGGTAGATAGATCTCATTGAGTAGAAGTGCAGTGCACAAGAACCGTAACTCTGCCTTGCCTAATTTTTGAATTATTCCCCTTTGTTTATTTTTACACTTTGAACTTTGTCCGGGACATAACTCTAAAAGTATAAGAGGTATCAACATGAAACTTTGTAGGTAGATAGATCTCATTGAGTAGAAGTGCAGTGCACAAGAACCGTAACTCTGCCTTGCCTAATTTTTGAATTACCCCCCTTTGTTTATTTTACACTTTGAAATTTGTCTGGGACATAACTCTAAAAGTATAAGAGGTATCAACATGAAACTTTGTAGGTAGATAGATCTCATTGAGTAGAAGTGCAGTGCACAAGAACCGTAACTCTACCTTGCCTAATTCTTGAATTATCCCCCTTTGTTTATTTTACACTTTGAACTTTGTCCGGGACATAACTCTAAAAGTATAAGAGGTATCAACATGAAATTTTGTAGGTAGATAGATCTCATTGAGTAGGTGTGCAGTGCACAAGAACTGTAACTCTGCCTTGCCTAATTTTTGAATTATCCCCCTTTGTTTATTTTACACTTTTAACTTTGTCTGGGACATAACTCTAAAAGTATAAGAGGTATCAACATGAAACATTGTAGTTAGATAGATCTCATTGAGTAGAAGTGCAGTGCACAAGAACCGTAACTCTGCCTTGCCTTATTTTATTAATTATCCCCCTTTGTTTATTTTACACTTTGAACTTTGCCCGGGACATAACTCTAAAAGTATATGAGGTATCAACATGAAACTTTGTAGGTAGATAGATCTCATTGAGTAGGTGTGCAGTGCACAAGAACCGTAACTCTGCCTTGCCTAATTTTTGAATTACCCCCCTTTGTTTATTTTACACTTTGAAATTTGTCCGGGACATAACTCTAAAAGTATAAGAGGTATCAACATGAAACTTTGTAGGTAGATAGATCTCATTGAGTAGAAGTGCAGTGCACAAGAACCGTAACTCTACCTTGCCTAATTTTTTAATTATCCCCCTTTGTTTATTTTTACACTTTTAACTTTGTCCGCGACATAACTCTTAATGTATAAGAGATATCAACATGAAACTTTGTAGGTAGATAGATCTCATTGAGTAAGTTTGCAGTGCACAAGAACTGTAACACTGTCTTGCCTACTTTTGGAGTTATTGCCCTTTGTTCATTTTGACACTTTGAACTTTGTCTGGGACATTACTCTAAAATTATAAGAGATATCAACATGAAACTTTGTAGATAGATAGGTCTCATTGGGTGGAAGTGCAGTGCTTAAAAATCATTACTCTGCCTTGCCTTATTTTGAAGTAATTGCCCTTTGTTTATTTTTACTTTTTGACTTTTGTCCTGGACATTACTTTAAAACTATTAGAGATATCAACATGAAACTTTGTAGGTAGCTAGATATAATTGGATAGAACTGCAACGCTTAAAGAACCTAAACAAAGCCTGGTCTAATTTTGGAGTTATTGCCCTTTGTTCATTTTTTTTATACTTTCCTGTGTCCAGAACCTTCTCGGGGAGCATCACCCGGTTCAACCGGTTCTTGTTTATACAGTGTAAAAAAGGGTTTGTCTGTAAGTTTCCGGTATTTCAAAAACATAATTTGGACCTTCCCCTTGTTATAGATTTTTTAATGACATTTAAAAAATGTTCAAGCTTTCAAATGCGCAAAAATGAATACATGTATTTAAAGAAAACGTATACTGTATACTACATATTTGACATAATGGCATTTTATTGGGACAATAAATTATGGTTAAAATTGTAAAGGGCATAGATATATATTACAGCTATTATGTTTCCAGACAGCTGTGCAATTTCTGCACATGCAAGTGCACCTAGCACAATTCTTGTTACAGTACACCTTTTGACAGATGTAAAAAAATATTCTTAAAACGTCTGTCTAAAATGCCATATATGACATATGAGACATTGTGTGATATAACCCTGTAATATTAGATTTTTACCCATGCATAGATCTAAAAAATAGAGTTACATAACAAATTTACAATGGCATGCATCTAAAAATAGATTTTTGGGGAAATTACAGGTTTGCATTGGCTAGAAGTTTTGTTTCGACCTGACTATATTCCCCTCAACAATGTGGGGTTGAATCCCTCAAGGGACTTAAGATTCTTTCATGTGAGGAAACAAACTAGCTAGTGTAATTCTGCTCAGGTGCCTATTTTGTGCCTGAAATAATGCATGGAAGGGCACCCGTGGTCTTCCTCATTAATAAAACTGGGAAGTTGCCATATGACCTATACAGTGTTAGCATAATATAAAAGCTGTAAAAAAAAGATGACAACAAAACAAAAAAACACCATAAATCATGACTTCATTATAATATATATATTCCATTTCCAGCACCAAGACATCAAGGAAAAGTGGCAGCTAAGATTCAACAATTAATGAACACATTAAAGGTATCATTTTAACAAATCTTACAATTATCACTTGTTGTTTCAGCCAGTTCAAGGTCAAATTAATCACTAGTTACAATGCACTGATTTATATAATATAGTGTATTTATTTTTGCATTAAGTCCCAACAGTACTATAAATAAATCATATAATATTTCAGAGACCTTATTTGGGGTAAAAGTCTATCCCTATTTATTAATCCCTATATACAAATAAATTTATACTTTCTTGTTCCATATCAGATGTAAATCACTCTATATTTCCTTTGGAAATTTTTCTTCGTCTTCAAAATGAAAGGCTTTTAAAAAAATAGACATAATGTAGAATGAAGATAATATTTGTCATATATGTGTTAGATATGAGTTCTATAAGCATGAAATATATTTTCGAGAAATTTTTTACATGTACATACCAGTTTTTATATATAGAAAACTATATAAAGTGTGTTAACTTTGTAAAACAGGAATAATAAACAAAGTATATAAACAGTTTAAGTATGTGAATGTTGAATAGCCCGCCCACATAATTATTATTATGCCAGTCGGTTAGAGCGCAACCAATGCAAACCAAGATCAGCCTGCATATTCATGTTGTCTAGTCATAAGTCTGCACTGTTTGCTATTCATTTATGTAGTACATGTTTTGAAAATTTCCCCTAAAAATGATACATAGTTTTAGTACAGTATGAAAAGTCAATTTAAACAGTTTAGCGAGGAAAAGGTTAACTAAGTTAAGTTTAACAAGGACATAAATCAAGGACTGTTTTTTTCGTCCTTTATTTAATCTTGCTGGTGAATCAGTTCAAAAAACGATAAAATAAATTGTTTAAGACAGTAAAAGACAGTGTTATCAATGAAAGGTATTGTTTATGCAGTAGTGCAGTACATGTATAAAGTATAGTATTTGGAGTATTAGAGAAACAAAAAGTACATAGTCAATGTACAAAATCAATTTTTTCCTTATAATTTGTTACACACAGTAAACCAGGAAGTAGAAATTTCAAATACTTACATACACCACAAGTCGTAGATGGTAATGATATTGTGTGGTCTGTTTAAATCGATAAAGTCTAAACCTAGTAAATATTAGTATGATATTGATATGAATGATTAGTCAAGTATGTTAGGTGCAGTTATTTACATGTATTATCAGGGTTTTCAGTATTAACGGATTGGCGATCCTTTAGTATAAGTTAAAATTTATTAGTACGTATTTACAAAATTAAATTGGTGCTGCGTGACCAATGTCATTTTGTAAATACGTACCAAAAAAGATGATTGATATTACAATGTATTTTTATTGTATAAAAAATTGCAACACATTTTTTTAAAAGTTCATACATATAATAAACAAAATAACATGCCCATTCTGGTTATTCCCCACCAAACCTGCTTGAATCTGGTAATTTGGCCATTTCTGGTAAATCAAGTAGCTGGTTTAAAAATATACTATGCTCAAATTTCATATTTCACACAAAGAAGATTGTTGTGTTGAATTCTACAAGCTGGTTACAATATGAATATATAGTGTCATTAAAAAACCTGGCAGTTTTTTGTAAGGAAAGACCACTTTTTCTTGACCTGTAATAGGGAACGCAGCTTCCGATATATATTTTATTCGATCTTTTCTTCAAATTGAACATATTTGGTAAGAATTACATAGATTTCAATAAAAATATTTTACGCATGGATGAGCTTAGTATATCTTTAAACTGTTAAGGAGTCTAAACCTTCAACCCCCTGATTCGGGGGCCCTGAAGTACTGGCAATAGACTTGTCTTGTTATTATAAAATTTTTAATATATGCAGTATGTTCCAAATATAGGGGAAATAAGGGATACTGACAAAATTAAATTCAGCAAAATAATAGTGCTTGGTCTGATTCCACTTATTTCATGGTGTGACCAAACTTTAGAGTCATAGATACTTAAATGATGGCAAATTGTTCAGAGATTTTATTACAGGGAAGTCGAAAACGGAAGCGATTCATGAAATACCTAATGACACCTTTAAAACGGAAAAAATGAAAGGAATTTTTAACGACTTCCTCGGTCATAGGCTTTGCCTATTTTCATATTAAGAAAAGATGGGACTCTGCATTTGTACCATAAATCTTCTTTAAAACAGAGGTAGTTCTTGCTTAAATAGACTAGTTGTTTCACAGCAATTATTTCTCAATCATATGTGTTCAGTGTTCTAGGACTTGAAAAAAAAGGGGAATTTTATCGAAAAGTGAGAATTTATTACATTTGTTCACCTTTTTCTTTCTTTCTGTATGTGAAATTTTTCCCCTGCCTCTGAAAAAATAGGGGGTAATTCTCAAAAATATGAGTTAATCCCTCTATCACCCCTCCTTGGATACACACTGTATGTTACAGAGGTAGGATCTTTCAGGGCCTATTCCTGCCTTCTAGTTTCAATGCTATCTGGGACAAAAAAATACCAGGATGGGTTAATAGAGATACGTCCTGCATTATGTTTTTGTCCAATCAGGTGCCAGCGCCTCTATTTTACAAATTGACTTACGAAGTGCATGGAATGGTTGGCTTGAAAGTTTATCATTTCATTCATTTGAAGGGATTGAAGACCCAAGAAAGTGATTAAATTTATTATTTTTTTGTCTCAGAATTAATTAATATAAACGTTTTATGTTCTATATTATAATGAAAGAGTTTTTTTTTTTTTTTTTTTTTTTTACAGAGACCAAAGAGAAAACCCTTGACAGAATATTTTGTAGAAGAAGACGACGCTTTAGAATGTAAGTATATGAATTTTTTATCTCCGCTCTTTTCATTTTGCTTTTAATTTGCTAGCATTATAGTATCTTAGAATCTAATTTACTAACCTGTGTTGGTTTAAAAATTCCGTGTGTAGTTTGATATTATGTTTTTCTTGCAGAATATATTTTAAAAACATACCGTATTGTATAAAACCTTGATTTGATTTTATTTTTTGGCCAGATTAGGAATAATTACCTCCCCTTGTTGCCATTTTTGGGGTCATTTCCAATATCATATCCTTATGTTATAAATCTCTCATAATTCTATCATCTTCATGAAAACTGAGGGGCGTCCATGGCCGAGTGGTTAACGTCGTTGACATCAAACCACTTGCCTCTCACCGCTGTGGGTTTGAAACCCAACAAGAACTTTGGATTCTTTCATGTGAGGAAGCTATCCAGCTAGCTTAAGGAACGTCGGTGGTTCTACTCAGGTGCCCGCTCGTGCCTGAAATAATGCACGGAGGGGCACCTGAGGTCTTCCTCCACCAGTAAAGCTAGAACGTCGCCAAATGACCTATACTGTGTTGGTGTGATGTAAAACCCAAAACAAACAAAATCATGAAAACTGATAAAAAAATCTTTTAAATATTGGTGCTATAAAAATATTTTACTGCATATGTATTAAAAGATGTTGACAATTCATCTTAATTGGCTGATTGAGTTGATTTTATCATGGTTTGTCTATTGAATATTGATCCCAAAAATGGCTGCCACTTCTGGCAAGGGAGGTAAACATTGTAAAAATCTGGAACGATCTATATCTGAATATTTTAAGTTTCTTTAAAACTAAAATAATCGTCCCCTTAAAATGCAGTCCTGTGATGGCTATAATGTACGAATGTTTGTTACTATTTCAGCCGCGTCACAACAAAACCAACATAGTGCGTTTGCAACCAGCATGGATCCTGACCAGCCTGCACATCCGCGCAGTCTGATCAGAATCCATGCTGTTCGCTATCAGTTTCTCTACTTGTAAAAGAGTTGGTAAGCGAACAGCATGGATCCTGATCAGAATGCGCAGGCTGGTCTGGATTCATGCTAGTCGCAAACGCACTATGTCGGTTTTGTCGTGACGCGGCTCATTTACTTTAAGTGACATGGGGTCTGACGACTTTGACCAATAGGGAGAACATTGGATCAGTAACTTTTGGGTTGCTGGTTTAATCCTTGGGCAAGGTGAAATTCCTCTGTGACAATTAATCTCATACATATGGTGGCTGATTTATGCCATATTATACTTTGTCGTCTCTTTGTGTTTGAGCATTTTTGTATTTTGAGCGCGAAAAAGCGAAAATTACGACAGATGGAATGCTAGATACGACAGATTTTATGAGGCATATTTTCGCCCTCCTCATGTCATATTTTTGTTTTTTTTTTGCCTCAGAAATGTGAAAAAGCGAAAATACAAGGAGTAAGACTTTGTCGTCCCTTTGTGGTTAGCATTTTCGCATTTAAAGCCCAGAAGCGAAAATACGACATGGCATAAATCAGCGACGATAGGTCTAATAGTCATCTGTTTGTCACAGCTGATTTAGTAATCTAAAAGGATTATTATTAATAGGCTGCAGATGAAAAAAAATTGATAATTACCTGGTACTGGTTAGTTACCCAGGAAAGTTGGTTTGGTTGACTGTCCGCCAATATGACCAAATAATTAAGGACCATTTATGATAAAGTAAATTATAAAAAAAAATGAAAAATGATAACTCTAAAATGATTACAACTCACACATTTTAGGCGAAGAAGGAACTGGTAAGGATTTACAAGATAAAATATGTACCTATTAAAAAAATGAAAAATTAAAAACAATCTTTACATATTTACAGTCTTTCAATATATGTTTATGCTCATTATGTATAGAATACCTATTTCTTCGAAACTTCGTCTTGTCCATGTTTTTTCCTTGAAGCTTGTTATGTGTAGAAACCACAGAGGCTTTTGTCATGCTAAATAAGATGATATGAGCCGCGTCACGACAAAACCAACATAGTGCGTTTGCGACCAGCATGGATCCAGACCAGCCTGTGCATCCCCGCAGTCTGATCAGGATCCATGCTGTTCGCTATCAGTTTCTCTACTTGTTATAGATTTTGGTAAGCGAACAGCATGGATCCTGATCAGACTGTGCGGATGCGCAGGCTGGTCTGGATCCATGCTGGTCGCAAACGCACTATGTTGGTTTTGCAGTGATGCAGCTCATATAGTATATAATACACTCATTGTAAACAGACTTTTGTTTTTAAAGAAAGGCAAGAGCAGTTGAAGAGAAATAATGTTTTTACTTCCATGGAGAAAAAAGAAAAGAAGGTTAGAAGTAGAACAGTGTCTACTCCAATACTGGGGGGGGGGGGGGGGGGGGTCGGGATTAAGGATTATCATAGTATTACTTTTTAACGATCTCACAAAAATTGTGGAAATTCCTCATAATATTGCACAAAATTGCACAACAAAATCTTTAAATGAAATAAAAAATAAAATAAATATTTATGACCTGAGACCTGAGTGCCAACAAATATTCATGCTGATATATTATTGTCAAAGACTTCTTAATAATTGATTTTTCATTTCATAATTATGTACACCAGGTGTGCAATAAGTTCCCTAAGTATAATATCTGTTGGAAGTGTCTTATAGACATTCAGGGGAAAAAAATTAATTTATACACCCACTAAGTGGAGGGGGGGGGGTGAATATAGATTTGTCCATCCTGCGGATCAGCTGTTTGTCCACTGGAGGATGGAGAAGCATCTGTGTCTTATATCTTGTAGACACAGTTCTAGTTTTTATATAGATGTTTTTTTTTTATAAAAAAAAAATGAAAAAAATATTATATAATGATTAAGAAGGAATATTCCCCACAAATTTCGAATCTTAGATTAGGCACTTGTAGGTCTCAAAGTTAACATTGATAACCATTGTATAATGATTAAGGAGGAAAATTCCCAACAAATTCTAAACTTCTATAAGAACAAAATTGAACTTGAACACATAATAAAATCTCTTCTTCTGTGTGGAAACTATCTTTTCAATGAACAGAAGGCTGTTTATAAAGAGTATAAAGTCTAAACTGTTATTTTATTTTTTTTTATCCAAGATATGTGCTTCTGTATAGAATAAAAAAAGACAACATAATTATTTTTGACAGATGGCTGTTTTCTTAATATCCAACATATTCTTTTTATGTAATATATATGTGTGTGTAATGGTCTGTGAAACAAATGAGCCGCGTCACGACAAAACCAACATAGTGCGTTTGCGACCAGCATGGATCCAGACCAGCCTGCGCATCCGCGCAGTCTGATCAGGATCCATGCTGTTCGCTATCAGTTTCTCTACTTGTAATAGGGTTGGTAAACGAACAGCATGGATCCATGTTGTTTGGTGTCCAATTCACAGCTGATCAATCACTAAGCGTAATGTTTAGATCATAATATTATTGATACTGTATTTTTTCTGTAAATTTTAATTTAATGTTAATGTTCTTTTATTTTCAACTGTTTATTTAATTATTTTTTTGGCTTATAATTATGTCAAAACATAAAAGTGTACCCTGATGTTAAATGGATTTAGGGGTCTAAATTTTTCTGAAAATTTGGACATTTGAAGAATTGATGCATTTTGTTACCCAAAAACTTGACTTTTTATTGTGGGGGAGGGGGGACCAAAAAAAGAAGATAAAAATGTTTAACTACTGAGGATGAACAAATAAAATTACAAAAATTTACTTCACAGACCATTGCTTGCTTACAAAATTGTTTGTTTGTTTGAAATACCATTATTCTTTACATATGTGTTGACCTACTTCAATTCAAGTTTACATTATTAGCATGGAACATTTACAGAATACAGAATGCATGATATGTAGAGTTTCTTATAGAGACATCTCTTTGTTAGTGGATAGGCATTGATTAGATACCCGTGCATTTGTCATGTCCATTCTTACTTCTAGTTGGTAATTTTGAAAACAAAATTGTTTTTGTTACAATTCTGTTTTATTCATATTAAGGAAAAAGTACCTGTTTGTTACAATTTATATTAAGGAAATAGTGTTATTTTTTACTATGTTCAAAGAAAACAATGTTATTCTTGCTGTTATTAAGGAGATAATGATAATTACTATTTACTAAGAAAACAATGTTATTTTTACTATTTTTAGATTCAATACTGAATTTATTGAATGAGTAAAATATATGCACAGCCGTGCCATACCATTTTTATGGAGTGGTAATATCGGCACGGGAATGTTATAAAACAATGTTAGTTTTACTATTTTCTAAAAGAAAGTGTTATTTTGTACTTTTTTCTATGGAAACAAAAGACTTTTTTCCATTTTATGGAAATAATGTTATTTATAATACTTTCTGATAATAAAAATTATCTAATAATTTTACTATTTTCTTAGGAAAAAAGGTGATCTTTGAACAAGCAACATTATTTTGACAATTTTCTCAAGTTTACATTATTATTTTTTTCTATGGAAATGAAGTGCAGATATTTATGGAAAAGGAAGAAGAAAATCATTTTATTTGTCAACAATGTGTTAATGTTCTTGTTTGTTTGCAAATTTTGTTAGTGGTGTATTATATGAGAAGTTGAATCATATAATTGAGCCGCGCCATGACAAAATCAACGTAATGCATTTGCGACCAGCATGGATCCAGACCAGCCTGCACATCCGTGCAGTCTGATCAGGATCCATGCTGTTTGCTATCAGTTTCTCTACTCATGTTATAGGGTTTGTAAGTGAACAGCATGGATCCTGATCAGACTGCGCGGATGTGCAGGCTGGCCTGGATCCATGGTGGTCGCAAACACATGTTGGTTTTGTCATGACACGGCTCATATTCTTTATACCAAGGTCAGAGTGAGAGCTTATTTCTTGGTTAACCTAAGACTTAAGACCTAAGTCTCGCCCGTCCATGGCATATGCATTTATGTTCGACTGTGACCGAGCCATGGCAAATAATTATAGGTTCATTGTTTCTACTAGTCGAAGTTCTTTCGTATCATTTTAACGTAACTGTTCTTCTTTTTGTGTTATTTCATTATCTGCCTCAAAGACATAAATGTTGCGTTACAGCATCCGCTAAAAATAGAAAGGCTTATTTATGTTTGGTAACTGGCGCCACCTTTTATATATTAGTGCCTTTTGCTTTGATTGCTTTGCAAATGGCATTAATGAAAGAAGAGGAGCGACTCTCTTCTCTGGAGGTTTCATAGCATCATAACATTAGAGTAGTGAAATAATGAAAACCAATTTTTTTTTGAAATTTTATTGTTCTTAATTGTTTCACTGTGCTAACACATTCATCTATTTTAAATAGTAAGTAAATTGTGTACTGAAAGGGACAAATACGAGATAATTATGTTTTGATTTTAAAGTTCTTTTTTTGTCTTTTTTCAATAGCTCCACCTGCCGACCCTAATGCTCCAAAACCAGAGGGCAGCACCTTAACACCAGTCCCTGGCGATCCACTTGTGGTAAGTACATGTATGATAGCACTATTTTTAGATTCTGCAGAGTTAGAAATGTAGTGTATGGAGGGAAAAGTGAGGTCTTCATCTCCAACATTTAAGCTGGAAAGTTGCCATTCGACCTTTACTCTGTTGGAACAATGTAAAACATAAATAAAAGAAAAAATAGAGGATATTGAATGAGTATAATATTATTGAATAAAATTCTTTTATGCAAGCCTCCGGTGAGCTTACATGAACTTACAGGAATTTGATATTCTATTCATGACATACCCAAAATAAAGACCGTTTGAAGTGAAAAAGAACCATTTTCCATTGATCTGTCTACAGGGTAACACTAGCATTTAGCGCCTTTTTAATGCAAATGACGTCGGGTCAAAATATATGCACTGCAATGCAAGTCCATTTTTACAGAGTCGCAAAAGGGGCATGCCCGATGTGTGATAAAATTCTTTATGTCCCATGATTTTCAAGTTTCATACAATTGTATTCGTGTTTTTGTTTGTTTGATATACAGGTACCGTCAGGTTTACCTCGCAATTTAGAGGCAGCTCTACACAGATATGGATCCTCCACATATAAAGCCCTGGCCGTAACAGTGTTAGATCAGAACGGGAAACCAACAGTTAATCTCACATATGGTACGTGTTACGTAATAATATTGTGTATATCTGAAACGATTTTTTTCAGTTCTAAATGCATGCCTTTTATGAATTAATTATGAACTATGGCCCAAAGTTTGTTTCTCAAATATGATGTATCATGTTTGTAACGCAGCTTTTCATTGGGTATTTGTTTTAATATATAATTTTTTTATGGGTGCTGTCAATTTATGAAGAAATCTCACCTTTTTTCTTTAAAAAAGAAAGTTTTCTGTATTATTAATTTGTTGTAAATATTCCTGACAGGTTCTTTGACCCTTGACAAAGGCTTGGGCCATATAACCTGTCAGGTAATCTTTATAACTCGTATATGTAGACAAGTTGCTTGCTTTAAATGACATCATTCCTGCGCGCCTTTGAAGAATGAATTGCATGCTTAGGACAAGGTCATTTCACTGTTTAGAATCAACATGTAAAACCACATGCTACTATAAGTAGAAGGTGCTAAATGAAAATGTTAGTTTTCGTAATTTCTTACAAGAATATGATATAAATGAGCCAAGCCACGACAAAACCAACATAGTGCGTTTGACAAGCATGGATCCAGACCAGCCTGCGCATCCGCGCAGTCTGATCAGGATCCATGCTGTTCGCTTACCAACTTTATTACAAGTAGAGAAACTGATAGCGAACAGCATGGATCCTGATCAGACTGCGCGGATGCGCAGGCTGGTCTGGATCCATGCTGATCGCAAACACATTATGTTGGTTTTGACATGACGCGGCTCATATTATGTAATATGCTAGAAAAAGAATAAAACACCAGAAGTCCTCACTAGCTCTCTCATAACTGTATAGCACAAACTAGTCATAAACAGTTATGTATTTATTTATTATTTTCGTACAATGAATTTTCACTGTCTCTTTTTTTTTTCCAGGAAAATTATTAAGTAAGACGCAAAAAATAGCGTATAACTTGCTGAATAAAGTAGGTCAGAAAGGAGAAGTGCCGATTAAACCAGGAGACAGGGTACGATCTATCACATTTATCCTCATTAAGTTTGAATTTTTAGTCCCCTACCGATTTACCGGAGGGGACTTTAAGTTTACCCTCCGTCCGTCTGTCTGTCTGTCTGTCCGTCCGTCAGTCCGTCTGTCCGTCCGTCAGTCAGTCAGTCCGTCCGTCCTCAAAACTGGATCCCGCGATAACACAAAAAGTACTGAAAATATTTTAATGAAACTTGATATATGGATAGATGGCAGTATGGAGATTATGCACGTCTTTTTCTTTTCTTCCTATGGTGAAAATTCTGGTTGCTATGGCAACAAATAGACTGAAAATATGGCAAATTTTACACATAACCTGGATCCCGCAATAACGCAAAAAGTACTGAAAATATTTTTATGAAACTTGATATATGGATAGATGGCAGTATGGAGATTATGCACGTCTTTTTCTTTTCTTCCTTTGTTGAAAATTCTGGTTGCTATGGCAACAAATAGACTGAAAATATGGCAAATTTTACACATAACCTGGATCCAGTGATAACACAAAAAGTACTGAAAATATGTTTATGAAACTTGACATATGGGTATATGGCAGTATGGAAATTATGCACATCCTTTTCTTATCTTCCTATGTTGAAAATTCTGGTTGCTATGGCAACAAATAGACTGAATTTCAAGATTTCTGATTCTAGTTTTTAAGTTTTTTCACTATAAGTTCTTTATTTCTTAAGGTATTTTCTTCAAACTTTAAATATAAGTTGCTTGTAATTAACCACATCATATGTGACAAGGTTTACAACTCTAGCACAAAATTTATCAGAATTACCTCCCTTGAACTTAAAATTTTCATGAAAAAACATTGTTTTTTTTTTTAATAACTTCTTTTTCTGAATGTATCTACTTCAAACTTCATATAAATGTTTCTTATTATCACTCAACATTTGTGAGTGTTCAATACTCTAGCAAGACTATTTCCAGAATTATGCCCCTTTTGAATTTAGATTTTTTTTTTGAGAAATTGGTAATTTTTACTCCAACTTCTTCAATCATGATAGGATTTTAAAAATGTTATATTTTGATAACAGGGATGTTTAAAAAATAACTTTAGAGTGTCCTTCAGTCCTTCTGTCTGTACATAAAAACTGTTTCCTGTGATCACTTTTAAAGAACTTTTTCAACAAATTTACTTAAAATAGGAACATAAGTGGATGGCCAATGGCCCTTCAGAATGTTGCTTGGGCTCTTACCGGTAGGGGACTTATGGATTGCTTGCAATACTATGATAATTGCTTGTTTAACATGTATTACAATAAAAATATACTTTGCTCATCATAAGTAAAATATTTTTATTGCATAAATTTATTTAAATCTATAAAACTCTAATTGAATATGCCTCATTTGAATGAGAGAACATACAAACTATGTTTGGGAACCTGGGGTGAACATTGATTCTTTAAAACGGACAATTTGGCTGCCCTATGCAATGTCCGAGCTTTTACTTAAATGTCAGTTCCTGTGTATTAATTGATGCTATAGGGTTATCTAGTATGTTTGCTACCAGTAACTGTTATACCGTTGGACTGTGATGAGCCGTTGCCGGGCCAGCCTGTACATTGTGCAGAGACATAGATAACAGAGATAGGCAACTTCCCAGTCAGTTAAGATATCGTGCGTGCTTGCTAAACTTAAAAACTTGTAGCAAGTAAAACTGTTTAACCAGATATCAAAATCAGTAAAAAAATACATTTCCTGAAAGCTTATGCATTTGTCTACGGCAGCAGGTAAAAAAACATTTACAGTTCCCATTTAAATAAATGATACATCAATTTTTAGCTCGACTATTCGCAGAATAATCGAGCTAATGCAGTCACCCATTTGTCGGCGTCGGCGTCAGCGTCCCTGTGGTTAAGTTTTTGTATGTAAGCTGGTATCTCCATAACTACTGAAGGAATGGATTGAAACTTCACACACTTGTTCTCTGTGATTATCTAAGATGATTGGCACAAGTCCCATAACTCTGATTTGCTTTTTAACATAATTATGCCCCTTTTTCGACTTAGAAATTCTTGGTTAAGTTTTTGTATGTAAGCTGGTATCTCCATAACTACTGAAGGGAATGGATTGAAACTTCATACACTTGTTCGCTTTGATTATCTAACATGATTGGCACAAGTCCCATAACTCTGATTTGTTTTTTTTTATAATTATGCCGCTTTTTTGACTTAGAAATTATTGGTTAAGTTTTTGCGTGTAAGCTGGTATCTCCATAACTACTGAAGGGAATGGATTGAAACTTCATACACTTGTTCGCTTTGATTATCTAACATGATTGGCACAAGTCCCATAACTCTGATTTGTTTTTTTTTTGCATATAAGTGTCCCCTTTTCGACTTAGATATTCTTGGTTAAGTTTTTGCGTGTAAACAAGTATCTCAATAACTACTGAAGGGAATTGATTGAAACTTTTCACACCTTTTCTCTGTGATTATCTTAAATGATCGGCACAAGTCCGATAACTCTGATTTGCTTTTTTGCATAATTACGCGCCTTTTTCGACTTAGAAACTCTTGGTTAAGTTTTTGCGTGTAAGCTGGTATCTCCATAACTACTGAAGGGAATGGATTGAAACTTCACACACTTGTTCTCTGTGATTATCTAAGATAATTGCCACAAGTCCCATAACTCTGATTTGCTTTTTTACATAATTGCCCCTTTTTCGACTCAGAAATTCTTGGTTAAGTTTTTGCATGTAAGCTGGTATCTCCATAACTACTGAAGGGAATGGATTGAAACTTCACACACTTGTTCTCTGTGATTATCTAAGATGATTGGCACAAGTCCCATAACTCTGATTTGCTTTTTAACATAATTATGCCCCTTTTTTCGACTTAGAAATTCTAGGTTAAGTTTTTGCATGTAAGCTGGTATCTCCATAACTACTGAAGGGAATGGATTGAAACTTCACACACTTGGTCTCTGTGATTATCTAAGATGATTGGTACAAGTCCCATAACTCTGATTTGCTTTTTTTGCATAATTATGCCCCTTTTTCGACTCATGAATTCTTGGTAAAGTTTTTGCATGTAAGCTTGTCTCTCCATAACTACTGAAGGGAATGTATTGAAACTTGAAGAGTTTGTACCTTTTCGGACAATTTTATGTATTCATATAGGTAAGCATTATTATACTCAATGAAACACCCTTGTGACAAATTTTCGAATAGTCGAGCGTTACTGTCCTCCGACAGTTCTTGTTAAGTAATTTTGTTGCTAAACTATTCATATGATGAAAAAACTGGCTCAGTGGGTATATTCTGCTATGTTTTTCTAAATGAAAGGCAGGGAAAGTTACCAATATTTTAACATGCAGCAATAGATAAAAGATTTAACTTTCAAATGGTGTATACTATAAAAGGATCAAATGTACATCCATTAAAGTTTAACTTGCTACAAAATGCCTAATTTTTCACTTTTTGATGAGGCATGAGTGATATTTCAATGGAGTATATAGGAGCTGCTAATCTCTGTTATCTACATCTCTGATTTTGTGTGATATGAAATATATCTCATAGTGATGATATTATTTTTTAGGTAGCATTAGTGTATCCAAACAATGATCCCATATCATTTATCAACGGGTTTTATGGTTGTCTAATGGCTGGAGTCGTACTAGTACCGGTCGAAGTACCAACATCACGACGGGTAAGTTATAGAATGGCACATGATTATTAGCATGAATCAGGAGGCATGCTGCCTTAAATTTCTGTGGAAAGGAATTATTTTCTGTGTGGATGAATACATAGAGATAAGGTTTCTGAAACACTATGATTCATACACTCGTATGAATATTTAAGTTAAAATCATTAGCAAATTCTGTGGCAAGGAACTATTTTTCTATGAGGAAGAATACATAGAGATAAGGTTTCTGAAACACTATGATTCATACACTCATATGAATATTTGAGTTGAAATCATTAGCAAATGTACTTGTTTTATTTCAATAATAGAGCAGGAAAAAATATGACATATTATATTACAGTTAAAATTATTTTACAGTTAAATATCCTTGTGAACACATAGAAGAAGATAGATCAATTGCGTGTTACTTAGAAAAGTTTCCCTTGACATTTATATCCTCACCAAAGTGCAGTAATGTGTTAAGTCCTTATAAAATTTTATGAAAGTTAACCAGTAATTACACTAAGGTGACAATACGTCCTTGTGTATAAAGATATTAATCAAACATTTACCTGCAATTGTTTTCCGTAAATGATTTCTAGGAAAATGTTGAGATATGCTTATGTAACTATGGTTACAAGGGTGTTGGTTAATTATGATTGTAAACTTCATGAGATATGTTTCTTTTCTACAGCGGTAGAAAGAAATAAAAGTGATACTTTAAAATTGCTATAACAGCTAGTTTCCCTTCATAATCAGGCATAGACCAAGTTTGCAGAAGTTGAAGGAGAATGTTACATTTTCGCAAACGAACACTGCCTTATTACTGTGGCAAATTTTGCTTGTATATTCAAGTTCTAGGTACGAGGCCTCTTATCCCAAGTATACAGGAGCGTATGAGGCCATTTACGTGAAGCAGTAAGGTACAGGGCCTCTTATCTCAAGTATACAGGCAGTAACTAGGCCTCTTATCCAAATAATACAGGAAAGTACGAGGCCTCTAATCCGAAGTATACGGGAGGAGCCAATATTTTACAATTTAAACTTCATACTGGCATGCAAGCAGTTCATGTACAAAAATCACAGTTGCTAACAAAATATTTTTTATTACGCTCACTCACCAATAAATTGATTGTGATATTCAGCTAATCATACAAATTATGGCAATTCCATTATGTTCTAAACATAGCCTCATATGGGGTACCGAAATTATCCATGAAGCGAAGAAGTTCCCGTACATAAAATATAACCGATCATAATTATACAAATGCGTTATATTAGACCCATTTTTCATTTATAATTGTTGAAGTGACCATTTTTCCAGAGGCAGGTAGATGTAATTAATGATATAGAGCGTAGACTAAACGCTGGTATCTATAACACAGTATCGGTACCCAAATGCAATCACAGACAATGGCTTGCTTGTATGTATGATATTTTACTGATTAAAGCCATAATATTATTTAATATAATAATACAGGTTAAAATTCTAAAAATTAAACAGGTTTTCGTCTCATTGCTAACTTATCTGTACGCATGTGGTATTAGTGGAAAAAACTTTTACAGGCCTCACATGTAATATTTTTGCGCATGCGCGCAAGGATGGAATCCCCCAAAGGTAACAAGGTTACGTTTTCACAACCCACAGATGAAAGTGATTTAAATTGAAAACTTTCTATACGTACTGCCGAACTGACAGTTATATTTTCTCTCATTTATGCATCTGCTTGATTTGATATCAATTTTTGAAGAATGCAAGTAAAAATCAAGCGTTTAAACAAAAAATACGGGACGGGAACTGCTTGCATGCCAATAGTCTTAAAATAAAACAATATGGCGATACAATTTTAAGATTACTTGTTTTTCTCTCTCATATTGTAGGATGCTGGAGGACAGGGTGTAGGTTTTATGTTGGGAAGTCTAAATGTATGCCACGCCCTCACATCAGAAGCTTGTCTTAAAGGCCTCAGTAAAACTGCCAATGGTGATGTTGTCACATTTAGAGGTGAGAATTTCTTTGTTTGTTTGATGTTATTGAGGGTAGTAGTTGATATACCAATGTAGTTTGTTATGTTGCAGAAAGTTTGGGACAATAGTTGAAAAAATTGGACAGTGTTTAAAATGGTTACTATTTCATGAGATATGTGGAAAGCACTTTCATTGTATTCTTGGACTGGTACTGGAATTCTTACCAATGGCAAGAATAAACAAATTTAAACACACATACTTACACTTAAACAATCACTGATTTATTTAATCAAGATAATGGGTATTAAGTGATAGGCTCTTAATTAAAGATGGTCTGCAGGCTGTCCCAAGTTTTATACATGTATATGTAATGTACGAAGATTGAATAATATGACAAATTAAGATTTCATGGTCATTTTTTGTCAAAGAAATATTACATTAATGATGTTGATAATGTTGTAATTGATGTTTGGCCTTGAGGTTATAAGACTTTTTTTTGAATCCCAGGATTTTCATTGGACAGGGCATGCTCCATGCTGTTATTGGACCAATCAAATTCCCAATTTCTCAAATTCTGATTTTTAGCTTTGAAAATATTTTTTAAACCTTGGACACCTTGTTTTTGAATTTATTGTTTATTTTATGCAGGATGGCCACGTTTAAGTTGGTTATCTACAGACAGCATGTCCAAACTTCCAAAAGACTGGCAACCACCACCTAAAACCTCTGAGGATGTTCCGGCGTATGTGGAGGTAAAGGAAATACAGAATCGATCCGACACGGTAACCAAGACAATCTAAATATAGTAAACACACAGGAAGTGATGCCTCACCTCCTTCAGTACTGAAGAGCTTCATGCAGTTTGAAAAGTTGAATATATAAATCCAAAGAATAAAATCATAGAAAAGTATTTTTCACTTTTATTGGAAAATACTAAGTATTTTGGCAAATTTTTTTGGTGTTCTTACTTTATTCATTTTGGATGTCTTTTTAATTTAAAAAATGTGTATTAAAATATCAAAAAATTCAAAATTTGAGTTAGGATAATTGGTTACCAATTCATGTAGTTTTGTTTTTGCATAGTTTTCTTATATGTTTAAGTATAGTTCTTGACAGGCATGCCCGCGCCCTGCATTGCGTGCTCAGGAAAAACCAGTTCTGTAGTGTTTTTACCCCATTTCTACCTTAGTTATGATTTCCACGAAGTTTTCATATTTTGGTGATACGAAATTTTCTTGGATGATGCTCTGAAGTTAGCTGCACGTTGTTACAGCATGTTTGTAGTGAATGCCTGGTGTAGTTTTTTTTTTAACATCTCTTCTTTCTGCCCTTAAATCTTCTTCTCATTCTCCATCTTTCACTGCCTCTCTTATTATTTATCTATATATGTCTGACTATCTCTTCAATGAAGGAAATTCATACATTTTAAGAGGCAGTTGCGATTTCCATTCTAGAAAAAAAAAATCCAGAAAAATCTTGACATATATTACTATCACATAAACCATGGCGCAGGAGTGTAATTAGACCATTCAATGAAAACCATATTACACTAATAACACTTTGACGTCATTTGTGGCATATATAAACAAAGCGTCAAAAAACGCTTATGTAAGTGTTACACTAAAGGCGAATCAATGAAAAATTACTCTCTTTTTAACTGTTTACTGTCTTTATTTTGAATGTGTGATAAATTATATATTATATTCATGTAAATTCAGTACTAATATTTGCATAATATGATTTTATTCGACTTGTTCAATAAATTTAGTATTAAACCTACGCTCATTAAATATCCTATACTTCTACTGTTGTTGACTATTTTAAAATCACGTCCTCTTGTCAGTTATTATCTATCTCCATTGTGAAACCACAGCTTGGTTTTTATAGGAAACATAAATTTGTTGTTGGCAGATTTTTGCTATTTTAGTTTTATGCTTGATACTGTGTTGGTTTTGGCTATTGATGCTAGTGTAGTAAGGTTGTCATGATAAGATTGTCATGAAAACACTTGTGAAGCTGAATCTTGTCAGTGTTTGCACAGGTCTTGGAATACAGCTTGTAAATAATCAGTGGTTTTGAAAAGTGTTTGATTTGAGGGTGTCTTTTAAAGTAATCTTTTAAAAGTGTTTAATAAAAACAAAACAAAACAAAAACAAACAAAAAACACCCACCCACCCACAAGAAAATGCAAGACAGTGACTGATATAAGAAGAGAAGAATAGTACAATGTTCTTTTAGGTAGAAATGGCGTAAAATTTTTGTTTGCTGAAAACAAGCTGCTATGGTCCTCAGACAAAATTGCATAATTGGCCTCAAAATCCAGTCTAATCATGGTCTGCACTTTTCAGTTGGTACATATTTTGAAATTTTCTTAAATATATTGAACAATTTTGTGTCCAATGTGTTTGGAAAATATCCCAAAATATATTGAACAATTTTGTGTCCAATGTATTTTGAAAATTCCCCCAAATATATTGAACAATTTTGTGTCCAATGTATTTTGAAAATTCCCCCAAATATATTGAACAATTTTGTGTCCAGATTGAAAGCTAGTCAATAGATATTTAGCATGGTAACAGTTCAAGAATTTCATTTAGGATAATTGCTTGATATTTGTGCTAAATCAATTTTTTTTAAAATAAAAATCTAACAATTTTGCATGACTGTATTTAATTATAATTTCTGAATACTAATTTCTGTTATATTTTTTTTTTAAATTTTAGAATTCAATTTCTTTTCATGTTAATTTTTTTTTCCATGTATTATTTTATCATTTCCCAAATTCTGCATTCTTTAAACCATTATTCATGTTTAGTTTTTTGTCCATTTTTTTTTTCTCACTTAATAGATTTCGCATTCTTTTAACACACTAATGTGAACAGCTTTATCTACTCTTTAGGGAGATTATACTTTTGATTTTCTTCTGTCAATCATTTTGCAATGGGCAGTAACATTTAGATACTTCTATTTCAGTCATTTTTTCAGTGACTTTCTAAAATAGAATTCTATTTTCATTATTTTGAGATTTAAGATATACTGGGAAAAGACAAAAGCCCGATATAGAAAGCTAATTAGTGTTGTTGTTTTTGTACCAGGAGTTGTATTAATAGATCTATATATAGAATAAACAGATCTGTTTAAGGATTTAATTTACCAGAATCTAGTTCTCAATATAAAAACATCACCATATTTATAGTTTTTGCCTGCATATTTTATGTATTCTACTAATTTTGTATTCAAAGTGGATTGGTCTACAATGGGCACATTTTTCTTATGTATTTCAAATATTGATAAAAACAATATAATAATGAATCATTTGGATATTCTTATGAAATATGTCTGGAAAACAAAATGTTGATAAAGTTCTAAAGCGATTTAGTATCAACATTTATGATGGGTAATAATATTTTGTTCCAGAACACTTTATTAATCTGTTATATAGATCATATATATATAACACTTACATTATCCGTTATATACTCACTTATCGTGTCTTTGCCTTGCGTCTTTTGAGGGCATCAACATGAAGACAAGATATATTGTTGGTGAAATGACAATATTTTTAAAAGGCAAAGACACATGATCTTTTTTTCTGTAAATTTATCGTGTTTGGAGGGTAGTAATCTTTGTATTGGTACCCTATATTTGTCTTGTAATAGGTTAAATGTAACTCAGACATACATATTTTAATTTTTCTTTTCCATAACACACCCATATCAAATATGTTTATTCTTTGGTTTTTACAGTATACGACGGGGAAAGACGGAAGTACTGTTGGTGTTACAGTGACGAGAAGGGGGGCTTTTTGTCATTGTCAAACTTTAACTGTAGCTTGTAATTATACTGAAGGTACACAAAGTTTTATTTTTAGCATAAGTAGTTTAGCAATTCCTCCCCTTAGATAAGAGGTTCCAAATAACTGACCCATTTCGAAGCACAAAAAGTACTTAACATTTTTCTGACTTGGTCATAACCAGAACTATTTTCCTATAATTTATAGTTATCTCTTAAAAAACAAGTATTGTGCAGGTTTGACTAAAATTGTATTTCTTGCTTAAATACAGTTTTCATATTAACTTCTATGAAGATATGTACATTGTATACATAATGGACAAAGGTGTGTTGCAAAAATTGGACTCGAACCTGTAACTGCTGATGGTAAAGTAATAAAAATTACAGCACACTTGAGCTACCAGTACAGGGACCTGCCAAATATCAGATATACTTGCATCCTAACACCAAAGTTGGGGTTTGACGTTTAAAACTGTTCAATAAAACAGGTTCAAAGAATACAGCTCTATCTTGAGATCAGCTTATATTGACAATTCAATGTATTCATTGTATTAGCCCAACCCACATACCTGTAAATCTAACGATTGCATTATCTAACATGATGATTACAAATAAAAATAAATTGAAGGTTTTTTCTTTTACTTGCAGGTGAAGTAATGGTGTGTGTATTAGATTTTAAACGTGATGTCGGCCTATGGCATGGTATTTTATGTGTAAGTAAACTTGGTGAATTCTTATGTAATTCCTTGTTACTTATTTATAACCTTTCATACACATACACAGTATTTTTGTAGTATGTTGTAGTTTTAAAATTTGCACTTTTGCTTCAATTACATGACTGTTTTTAATGATGGTTTATCTGGGTTTAAAGAAGACACCTTGTCTTACAGATTATTCACTTACATTTAATAAAACAGCCTTTTTTCAGACTTAAAGTTGAAAAAAAATTGAAGTAATAAATATTGATTTTAAAGCAGATCTTTATAAAAGCATCATGGTAATTACAAAAGATATGTATATATATTTATCACATAAACCACAGCGCAGGAGTGTAATAAAGCGATAAAATAAAAACAATATTACACTTGTGTAATAACACTTTGACGTGGTGTCATTTGCTTAATATGTAAACATAGTGTTAGACAGGGCTAATGTTAGTGTTACACTATAGGAGTGTCAGTGAAAAATGACCCTTTTTTAACAGTTTACCATTCTCATTTTATATATGTGATAAATTGAATATTATATTCGTGTAGATTCATACCCTGTAAGTACTTTGTTACTTCTCAATTTGAGAAAATATTAACTTTTTTCAATAAAACATCTTGAAACTTAACTCTTCATATAACTGAGGGGAAAAAAGAAACATGTGTTGGTAAATAGGCCAATTTTAGAATTTCAATAAATTGTTTATTTTAAACATGATTTTAATATTTTCTACTTTCAGAGTGTATTTAATGGTATGCATGTAATATTTATTCCTTATTCTTTGATGAAAGTTGATCCTGCCTCATGGATGAAAATGATCACAAAATATAAAGGTAAGCTATTAAACCTTTACCTTAAATTTTTTGAAAGATCCATTTTTAATTTTGGGTATATCAAGATGAGCATTTTAGTTTTGTCAATGCCGAATTTTGTAATTGGACTTGACCAGTATCAATTGTCAGAAATGTCCAGTATCAATTGTAATTTTCAAAATATGGAGTGGAGTTCCCTTATAAGGATATGAAGTGATATGAATTTGATACCAATTGGTTATTATTTTCAAATTATTTAAAATTGGCGTTAAAAAAACCCCTGAAAAACAAAACAAAACAAAATTCAAACCAAGCAATTAATTTTCAAGTCAGACTGGATGGTAATTACTGGTGCCATTGGTAATGCCACCTAACATTCATAAAGTTAAATCCATTTCTGTTTATGAATTTGAACAATATGTATTTATTTATTTCAGCCTCTTGTGCGATAGTAAAATCACGAGATATGCACTGGGGCTTATTAGCTCAGAAAGACCACAAAGATGTTAACTTCAGCTCACTGAGATTACTGCTTGTTGCTGACGGCGCAAATCCATGTAAGTTTATACCCCCTGTTCCCACATATTGAACTTTTGTCTTTTAACCTCTTATTTAGAAATCATGTGGGATAAGTGGCTGGTCACTTGTGCAGAAATTTTTAATTACTGGATAGTTATCTAGGAAGGCCAGTTACGTCAAACAACTGCTGATAACAAAAAGAAAAAAATGTGTTTAAAATCTATTTTAAAAAAGAAACAAAATATATGTTAAAATCTATTTTTAGTTGAAAAAAAAATATATGTGTTAAAATCTATGTAAAAAAGAAAAAAATGAAAAAAAAAATGTTAAAATTCTTGTAAAAAAACCCAACAGAAAACAAAAAATGTATTGAAATCTATGTTGAAAAATAAAAGAGAAACAAAAAGAAAACTAAAAATGTGTTAAAATCTGTGTAGTAAAAACCACAAAACACTGAAAACCAAAAATGTGTTAAATAAAAAATTTGCACAATAAAACCAGAAAACAAACAAACTCGGGCTATGCAATATATACATATTGTTTTATAAACAAGCAGTCTAATATTTGATATATAGTTATGTAACTTTTTATATTCAGGGTCATTAACATCGTGTGATGCATTCCTAAATGCCTTTCAAGCGAAGGGTTTGAAGCCAGAGGCTATATGTCCCTGTGCTAGTAGTTCAGAAGCCCTGACTGTCTCTGTTAGAAGGTAAGAGTGTGTGTAAAAAAGTGTACATACATGTGAACCCTCCCACTTAAAGCGGGACACTCCCACTTTCTGCAGCCATATTTTCAATGATTTTTTTTCCCCACAAATTAAAGAAATCTGCCTACTTTTAAGGCAGAACTTTGTTTATTGCAAATTCTAAAATCTCCCTCTTTTTGAAGAAAAATCTCCCACTTGATCATCGAAAAAAGTTCACATGTATGTGTATTTCTTAAAGGCACATTATGCCTCAGGTACAAATAAAGTTTACTTCTTTAGAATTCTTATCGTTTTAGAGAATGATGCTTGTTACCAGAAGAAAATAGCGCTAAATGTGAAATAATTTGTCTTGAAAGTGGCAATATGTAAACAAAATAGTATTTTGATTTCCATACAAAGAACTTATACATTATAGCTATACCTTTTGACAAAATGCAACAGATAAAAAAGATGATTAAGGTAATTGGAAGGGAGTAACCTTTTGGATATATAAGGGTAAAGAAAGTTAAAAAGCTTTTGTGAAATAAAACTTAAAGCATTTCTGAGGCATAATGGGCCTTTAAAGTGTTTTCCTTAAAGTGACATTATGCCCTTCTGATAGTATATAGTTAATAAGCAAGTACAAGTCAAAATATGTTTTTAATTTTGCCTTGATTCCATTCAATTTTATAATTTACTTCGCAAGAACAATAAGTAACTCATGTACCCAAAAGAAATTTCTATAAATATCCATGGGAAATTACTTGTAACGTTCAGTTTATAAAAGAAGTGGGGTAGTCTTTTTATATTTTAGGCAGATTTATATTTTATCGCAGGTATATAGCTTTATACACTTTAAAGGACACATGAATAGAAAAATGTAAAAGAATATTCCCTTGTTATAAATATCATGTTGTATTTATAGGCCAGGCAGAACAAGTTCAAGTGCTACAGGGAGGGGTATACTATCTATGCAGGGTCTAAGCTATGGTGTGGTACGAGTGGACAGTGAAAACAGTTTAACATCCCTTACATTACAGGACTGTGGCCAAGTCATGCCTGGTGGTAAGTTACCTTGTCTTTTATAGGTGCCATATTTATTCATTTCAAGAGGTTTGGTTGGTTTTAAAACCAAATCCAGTTAGAGGTTTCTTTAACCTGTGACCAAGGTTAGTAAAATACCAAGACCTAAGAAGTTTTAGATGAACTTTGATAATAAAACATACTTGGAAAAAAGGAAGAATGATTTTTCATAAGAGCTGTCGTGTATGATAACATAGCCTACCTAACGATCCCCATGTAACTCTCATACCATTGAAATCAATCGTTGAGTCCAACAAAATACAAATAAAAATGTCACATCTTAAAAATTTTTTTAAAAAATGGGATAAATATATTTAAAATCTAAGAATTCTTTATTCTTATGTTTTGTTAAATATTTAACATGGTTCAGGGTTCTCACTAGGACTTGAAAACATGGAGTCCATGGACTCCCAACCCTGAAAAAGTTGGAGTCCAAAAGCGCGTCGCAATTAATATGTTTACAGATTAGTCATTCAATGCTCACAATAGTATTGCTGATATTTTGAATCTTCAAAAGACTTCCAAAGTTTATAGTTATTCAAAAGAAACTCTAAACTACATAGTATAATTATTGTTTTGTTGTTAATATTTATTATGAAATTATTTCATTATAATGCATCAACACATGGAAATCGTTTTTTTTCTTCACTTTTATACCAAATCAAATTTTATTCTGGTTAAGTAAGTTCATTCTAAAGACAAAAAGTTTATATTTGTAAAAAAAACGTAAATACAATGAATAGGAAAATCGTGTACAGCTTCACACAGTGTGTAAGAGATTCATCCGAGCGACAATTATTTTAGCAAATATCTTCAAAAGGGGGCAATTGAAGATCGATATTTAAAGATTTAATGATGATTAAATAATAAAGGAACAATTCATTCGCATGTTTGGCTTGGAAACAGAGAATTTTTGCGAAATTTTAGGGTTTCTGGCGAACGTGAAATCGCCGATGTTCGGGATCAATTTTCGGATATCAAAGAAAAGTGTATGTGTATTTTGGTTTGTTGTCCTGGCATTTCGGCAAAATATTTTAAATTCTTAATACTCTTATATAAAGTTTTTGCAAGAATGAAAATAAAGCAAAATTGTGCCTAGAAAATGCCGAAAATATTCGACAATCATTCAAAATTACACTCATTTAACAGTCTTTAAACTTGCGGCGTAAATAGTCGATAATTTTATCCTTTTGTCGGTAAAATTTGCTAATGTCCAATCTACAGTTGATCAAAGATATAAAATTATACACAAGTATATCTGGTAATTACATGTTCAGCGCGTGTATACATTAGTCTGATCACTATTGCGTGATAATGATCGGAAGCATTATCGCTGATTGGCTAATCGCTTCACGGGTCAATGTGCATAGGACCGCCTACCTATAGACTGACATGCGCTGACGTATTTGTGTATTTGTGGTTGTAAACAATCGGTAATGTAAATGCGTCCCCAGGCAATATTAAGCGTACGTGGAATCCTTGCTCTGAAAAATTTGCGTCCAGCTGTAATAAACATGCGTACCGGGACGCCGAAATAAGCGTCCCCGAGAACCCTGTGGTTATTAAGTTGCTGTTTTAATGGTGAACATTTTTGTTCAGTATTTGTGCTATTAGTTTATACTGAATTTATTTAAATTTATGTTGGAAGCTATAAACTGAAAATTTTTCAAATCCATTCCTGGAACGAACCAAAATTAGTGATGTATATTTTGTAACAAATCCTAATCTATATGTACAATTGTATTTTATTCACTATTGAAGCTGTAATGATAGTGGTGAAGATAGAAGGCTCTCCATACCTCTGTAAGACAGACGAAGTGGGCGAGTTGTGTGTCTGTGCCGGCTATGCTGGAATACAGTACTGGGGCCTGCAGGGAATCACTGTAAATACATTCCAGGTCTGTACGCCTATATTTCTATCTTTGTATATATGGTATTTATTATATACCTATAAATAAAATATTGTGAAATATTTATGAAATAAAATGGGTATTTTCATTTTCCGTGTTTTCACTAAAAATTTATTTTTCACTGCAATGAAACATATTTTCCATATTTTCACTGGTGACTTGCCAGACTGCTTTCTTCTTAATTCAGCCAATACACAAAATTAAAAGAAAATTCTTAAGAATTGTAAGGTCTTAAAAGAGAAAAAGGATATAATAAACAGAGTATTCAAGTTCTTTTCTATACATACAGTATTCATTTTCATCTTGTGACATGAAAATTATCATATTTCACTTATGCCTGCCTTTACCCGTGAAATATTTATTTTCACACCACTTAATGTAAATAAACATTGTATTTATGGAAAAAAACTTCAATATCCTCAACATATGTTATGTTGTAACTTTGTATTTTAAAAAAAAATCAGACTGATAGACATATTTTACATAATCTGATATCTACATGCTGAATTTTACTTTATTTCATTTTCAGTTTAAAGTATTTCCATGTATACTTCATATTTATCTTAAATTTATTATATCTAAACCCTTTACAGAAATTTTGTAACAGTTAATATACATTTTAACACAGATAAATGATTGCATTGTTAAATTTTCAAAATGATCTTTATGTAAAATATGTCTTATATCTTAAATTGTGTGGTAAATTGTTATTTAATATTCAATATAGGTTCAACCTTTACAAAGTGATGGGAGACCTGCTGCAGGTGATAAGACATATGTTAGAACAGGGTTACTTGGCTTTCTTGGTCCAGTAAGTATTATTGTTAGCTTTGTGAACATTCTATTCTTACACCTGCCCTGCTGAATAAGTATAATGGAGTTGCCAAAGAAAAAATTGAGTTATTATGAACACTGCCATCATTGACATCATGCAAAAACTTTATGTAACCTATTATACAAACATTTTAACAGTTAAAAATATATAACTTGGAATACATGAACTTGCTTATTTTATGAGGACGTGCAGTAGTTAGACAAGGGGCATAATTCTGAAAGAGCAATATTTTTGGAGTTAAGCCCCCTTATTTAGAATTCGTAATAGATTTGTAAAGATAAAACAGCTTGCCACTTACGAGGTATTAACCCACGGCCACACAGCTAAAGTTTCTTACATCACTAGTCTGACATGTTAATCACTTGGCCATGCCACCACAACTAAAGGGTCTTGTTGAAAGAATGTAAACAAGATGTAGTGATGGCATGGCCGAGTGGTTAACGCATCAGACTAGCAAGCGAATGATAGCTAGCCGCATGGGTTCAAACCCTGTCAGGGGCAAGTCGTTGTTTCCTTGAGCAAGAAACTTTACACTCATTGCTCAGTACTAGTTGGTTCCATGAACCGATTTGAAAGTGTGTTTATAAGCTTAAAACTTCCTACACAATCGAACTAAAATAGATTCTGTATAAACCAAGATGGATGTAAAAATCTCGATTTTTTAAAATGATTTTTGTTTTTTGCACACAGGGTGGTCTTGTATTTGTATGTGGCAGTAAGGAAGGTTTAATGCAGATCTCAAATAGACGGCATAACACTGATGACATTATCGCCACGGTGCTAGCTGTAGAACCTATGAAGTTTATATACAGAGGAAGGTAAAAATACATTTATTTCTATATTTATATGTTATTTAATGATTGTCCATTTGTGTCTTTATCATTTTAAATCTGATGATGCTAATGAACTTAGCCTGCTTGGAATTTTGAATTGTCTATTAGGGATTTGAATCATCTAAGCAAAATACTACTGTATAAGTGGTTAAGTTATCGACATGGAAATATTGGTGAAATTCGCTAAAATTTCCTCTTGAGTAAATACAAACCAACATGTCATTAAATTCTACACTAGCACACTTCCCTTATAATTCCTCACGCAAAATATCTGGGATTTTAAATTTGCTTACTTTTCAACACACGGAAATATCCACATACAGTAATTTTAATCTGCTAACATTTTTTGTCAGATTGCATATAGTCACCTTAGTGCAATAACAGGTTTTATCACACACCCGTGCCGATTTTGCGACTCCGTAAAAATGGTATTGCACGGCCGTGCATATATTTTGACGTGACGTCATTAGCGTTATACAAACATAGTGTAAAGACGCGCTAAATGTTAGCGTTATACTATAGACGCGTCAATGAAAAATGACTCTTATTTCACTTTAAACGGTATTTATTTTGGGTATGTGATAAATAGAATATTAAATTCGTGTAAGTTCCATACTGAATTTATTGCACTCGTTGAATAAAATAATATTATGCTCGCCAGAGGCTCGCATAATATAATTTTATTCAACTCGTGCAATAAATTCAGTATTGAACTTACACTCATTCAATATCCTCTATAACTTGATTGAATCATATAAGAAATGAACCAGTTACTGCTCTAATGTGCAAACATGGTTTTACACTGGTTGCATTGTCATGTTGTTATTGCCACTCTGTGGTTAATGTTAATGACATCTAATCATTTAACTACATATCACTGTAAGTTTAAATCCCTTCAGGAAGTTTGGATTCTTTATTGTAAACATTTATTTAGTTAGTGTATGGAAGGTCTGTGGTTCTACTCTTGATGTCTTGTTCCCTCTGCCTTTACAAGACATAGAGGATATTGAATAAGTTTAAGTTCAATACTGAATTTATTGAACAAGTTGAATATAATTATATTGTGTGAGCTTCTGGCTAGCATAATATTATTTTATGCAACAAGTGCAATAAATTCAGTAATGAACATACTCAAATTTAATATTCTATTTATCACTTACCCCCACGAAATAAAGACTGTTTAAAGTGAAAAAGAATCATTTTTCATTGACGTGCCTATAGTGTAACGCTAACATTTAGTGGGTCTTTACTCTATGTTTTACGTAAATGATGTCATATCAAAATATATGTACAGCTGTGAAATACAATTTTTACAGAGTCGCAAAACCCGGCAAGAGTTTGTGTTTAAAACTATGTAATGAATTCTCTTCCGTTATATAACCATGTGAAAATCTTGATCTCTAATATTACAGAATTGCAGTGTTTTCTATAGAAGTGCTAAAAGATGAACGAATTGTGATAATAGCAGAACAGCGTCCGGACTGTCCGGAGGAGGAGAGCTTTCAGTGGATGTCGAGAGTTCTACAGGCTGTCGACAGCATACATCAAGTCGGTGTCTTCTGTCTGGCTCTAGTCCCACCTAATTATCTTCCAAAGGTAAGTTTTTTACATGTTGTATCTGATGATTATTAGTGCGATATTGAAAATATACATATCAGTGAGATACATGTCATTATCACTGTCTTAAATCACTGTCTGTGACCGAGTGGTTAAGGTGGTTGACTTCAAACAACTTGCCCCTCACCACTGTGGGTTTGAATCTCAGCAGGGACTATGGAATCTTTCATGTGAGGAAGTTATCCAGCTAGTTTGCTGAAAGTGAGTGGTTCTACTGAGGTGCCAGTTTGTGCAGCAGGGGGCACCTGAGGTCTTCCTCCATCAATAGATCTGGAATGTCACAATAAGACCTACACTGTGTTGGTATGACATAAAACCCAATCAAACCAACATACAAACCCGCCTTAAAGCTGCATGTTAAAGTTTGATTTGATTTAGTACAGAGATATAACAGAAGATAAATATAATATAAAACATATTCAGTGATACAACATATATAGACATTGCTTAATACAATTTCTATTTTGGAATCTTTGACAACTTTTGATAAACCTTAAAATGATTTTTTCCTTCTGTAATTTCAGACACCATTGGGAGGTATCCATTTACACGAAACTCGGAAAAAATTTCTTGAGGGTTCATTACATCCAGCCAATGTGTTAATGTGCCCTCACACGTGTGTGACAAACCTGCCAAAACCTAGAGAACACAGGCCGGACAGGGACGTAACTCCGTCAGCTGTACACGTAGGAAACATTGTACAGGGAGCTCGTATGGCATGGGCTCAGGGGAGAGAACTCAATATGGCCGACGAAGAAGGTGATGGATCAAGAAAGGTAGCATTTACAGTTTTTGAAAAAATGGTGTCACATTGAAGGTTCAATGATCAGTGCTAATTGTTAGAACCAGTGGATGTTTTTTCAAAATTCTTAATTAAACACCATGTTTGTGTTTCTACCCCGGTATATTGAGTACTGCAATAGAAGGTGCTTGGAGACCTGGATGTTGAATTTTATTTTCCACTTTCAGCCATAAGCAGGCATAATCAATCCAAGTCCACAAAATTTTAAAAGATTTTTACATGTTTTGGGGGGTTCTTTCAGGTTTCCACTATTTATTTTATGCATTTTGCTTGTTGATAAATTCATCAAGCAGTGGCTCTTTAATTTGTTATGTTGTCATGCTGATTTACCCTTAATCTTCTATCAGGGATGCCAATTTTTCTTCGGACCCCAAAATCCCAGTTAAGGTAGGGCATTTTTTAAAAACCAATTTATCTCTTAACCCCCCAATTTTAGTTTTCTCGGGGGAAGGTTTTTAATTTTAATTGAAAGGGTTGGGGAAACTACCGCCATTCTAAATACTTTAGGAAATAAAAATAAAAAAACCAAAAAACTTTTTACGGAGATTTTGAGGGTGGGCCCCAAAAACCAAATTTTTAAAAATGTAAAATTCAATTATTTTATTAAATCGGCAAAAAAATTTAATGTTTCAAGATGCGCCCCACCTTCTTTCTTTTGCCATTTTTCTAACATTTTACACAGTTTTTACGGAAGTTTTTACGAACAGACTCAGGCTCCCGACCAAAACTTTACCATTGCTGGCAAATTCGTAAGGTTTTGTCGTGTCGCAACTCATATTACCCTTGTTTGATAATTTAATCCTGTAGAAAAAGAAATAGAAACTGGACGGCTTTTGTCGTTTTTTGTTTGATTTATTGTATACTATGATTTATTGTATACTATGGCTTACTCAATATTGTTTGTCACTAGGGCTGTCATTGATGGAAAATTTTGTATTGATATATCGAGAGACAAATATCGACAATATATCAATAAATCAACTTTGACAGTAGATACAATGAAAAACATTTAAATATTTGTTATAAATTGGGATCATGCAATGAATGCATGCTTGTATTAGACATTTCAAATATAAAAAAATATATAAGTTTTTTTTTTTTTCTGTTATTTTTGTCACTGACATTTAAAAACAGAGTTTAAAGTTCAAGTTAGCCAACAAAACTGGAGAAAAAAAAATACTTCTCTAATTAGGCAAAATAGGGAAATATATTCACTTAAATAAATAAATAAATAAATATATAAATTTTAGTTTGTATCAATATTTTAAAATGTGTATCAATATTGTATCAGATGATAAATATCAATGATATTTAGATATTGCCATATTCAATGACAGCCCTATTTGTCACAGAATTCTGTAGTCTAAAAAGTTTTTTTTATTATATTTTATTTTTCCCAAATTTTTTTCTTTATTTTTATCTAAAAAAAAAGTGTATATTCACCTTAATATTTAAATAACCAGTATTTACAGTCTTGTTTTAAATAAAAATTGAAAGGGGGCCTTCAGCTTTTTTTTTTTGGAAAAAAAAGTGTTTTTTCAACTAAGTATTTCAGAAATTTTTATCAAATATCATTTTTTAAGCCTTCTAAAAAAAGGGTTTCCGAGATTTTATAGCACTCATGATGTTTGTTCTAAAAATAGAAGATAAAAAAAAATCTCAGTTTATAATTAATATATAGAGAGTGGACTGATAAATTAGAGGTGTCGAGGGGTTTCCGTATCATTTATGTATTTAATTGACAGAAAAATACATTTTCCAACTTAATTCTTTTGATTTGACAAATTTATGAAACAATTTTTCTAAAAATCACTTATTTAACCTTTAGAATAACTGAAGGCCACTTTAAATCACATGATAATGGTCACAAACATGTTGCTATAGAAGATACATGCTTAACTTCACATTTTTATTTGAATTATGCTTTCCTCGTTATTTGTAATTATGCTATGCTTTGTCTTTAATGTAAACTTCTTTTTTACAGTCAAATTTATGCTTCACTTTTTTATGTGTAATTTATTACTCCTACCTCTTTTAAATTAGCATTTTTTGTGAAAGCTTACTTTTGACTACAGCAACAATTTTGTCCAAAAAAAATTGTTTTCCTGCTTTAGAAAAAATTTCATATGAATAAAGTATAGGCTGCTTTGACAATATGAAGATGTCACTATTTGGCTTAACTTGAGATTCTTTTGCTTGCATGAAAATGGTTGGAAATAAAGATTTTTAGTTGTTGGTTCTCACCGGTGGTTAAAATATTTTTGTGCTTATTTTCCGCAAATGAAGTTGATTAGAGTTAATTTTGAATAATAAATTAAGTACTGTTTAAAAATAATTTGAAAAAAAAAAGATTTGAAAATAAAGATTTGAAGATACATGTAGGGACTCTGTTTTTACATGGTTATGCGGAGGGGTTGGGGTCATTGGTGAGGTCATTGGCTGAACTGCCGACTCCTCAATGCTGTAAGTTCAAAGCCCACAAGGGACTTGAGGTTCTTTCTTGTGAGGAAGCTGTCCAGGTAGCTTACAGAACACTCAGAAGACTGTTGGTTCTACTTAGGTGTCTGTGAGTGCCTTAAATTATATACAACAGGTCTTTCTCAACCAGTATAGCTGGGAAGTTGTCATAGTTGTCATTTGTCCTACACAGTGTTGATGAGACTTGAAACCAAATTCTAGAAAAATCAAAACTCATGTTAAACTTTTATTTGTAAATAAAGGACATTAATATAAGTGAATTGTTTAGATTTTTGACAGTAGCTTGACTGAGTTGCAGTATTTTAAAATTAATTGGCATTTATTCCTTGTCAGCACGGACAGTCTGGAAAAGCTTGGCCTCCACAGGTATAATGATTGGAACCCACATTTTCATTGGCTGCGAGGCTGTAACCTCTTCTCTCATTGGCTGACATTTTGAAATTCATGTAACCAATAATATCCATCCATACACCCATTGAAAGTTTTTATTGGCTGGTTTGAATATGAAATGATAATTATTTTCTTCATCGTATATCTTGTAGAATAACTGCCTGTATTGAAGTTTAAAGAAAGCATTTTAATTATTATTTACATACTGAATATTTGACTACAAATTTAGCATGGCAGTGTATATGTATTCTTGAAATATCTTAAAGTGAAAACATGTATATAAAATATACTATTATATAATATATATTTGATTCATCAAATTAGTAAATTGTCTAAATAATTTATGAAATTATAAAAGAATTTTTTTTTCTTTAGCATGTTAGTATTTTATTTGCCGCCTTTAATTGCTTACATATTTTTTATTGAATGACTGAATGGCTGAAAATCATGCTTTTATCTTAAAACATTATACATTGTATTTTGCATGGGTATTCACCAGTTTGCTGTAAAATGATTTTGTAGAAAATTTTCATCTCTCTTTTAACATTAAGACTTTCAATGCACCTTCAGGCTCTGAAAACTCCTTTGGCAACTTAAAAATTCATTTGCACATAAACACAAAAGTCTAGGGTCTTATGTAGTCTAATATTGTGTTAACAAACTTTGTGATATCCTAACCCCAAATCCCAAAATTAATAATAATTAATATTAACTGATACAGTGTTAACATGTCTGTCCTAATTTCCGAATCACATATTCTGGTGTGAAGGAAGCACATGGTTGTTTTGATTTCCATCCCACAATCTCTTGAATTAACCCATGTAGTTCTTGTAATTTAAAAGGTGGTTGGGAGGTTTTTGTTTCTCCGATTTAAGCCAATAATCAACAGATTTACTTCTATTACTTAAAACCTACATTATGTTTGTTAGCCAACAGTATAGAGCCTGGTCAGACGGCATGGATGTTCAGGCTGGCTGGGCTAAATACTGGTATGAAAAGGTCAATCACAGGTTTCAACTGGTTACTAGTTAAATTACTTTTACTCAGGCTTTAAAGGTGATAAAAATAGAAGTTGTCACATTATTATTGCCAAACCATATGTGACTATTAGGTGATGTTGTGGTTTTAATTTTGGTAACAAAGATTTCTTGCATGCACCATTCACTCTTAAGGAAACATACAAAACATTTTTCTTTCATGCAGGTACAAAATGTTATTTTGGAAGTATTGAAATTTCAAATTTTTTGCAACAGATATATAGCTTTATTCACTTTAAATGTAAATTTTTTAAGTGATTCTTTTAAAGACTTTACTTATTATTTGTGGAATAATTGCTTTATGGTTCCAACAAATTGCCATTAATATTGTGATAATTTTTTTTGATAAAGTATAACAAACATAGGTAAAAAAAAGTTAAAAATATACCAGAAAGAGAAAAACGATGTTAGATTTTTTTTGTAATGTCCTATTTAATTTTAATTTTTTAAAAACATCTGGGTTTACATCTGTGAATTTGGCAGTGATTACAATCTGCAAAAGAATGGTTATCGCTGTAAGGTGTTTGCTTTATTGTCTCCCTTTATTGTACAGGTACAGATACAGCTTTCCATGTCATGTTCACAGCTACATAAGCGAGCTGAAAGGATCGGATGTTTGTTGATGGAGAAAGGACGTCTCAACACAGGGGACCATGTAGCCCTTCTCTACCCACCAGGGATAGAATTAATAGCAGCTTTTTATGGCTGTCTGTATGTTGGTATGTATCTATGAATATATGAGCAGCGCCATGACAAAACCAACATAATGTGTTTGTGACCAGCAAGGATCCAGACCAGCCTGTGCATCCGCAGTCTGATCTGGATCTATGCTGTTTGCTATCAGTTTCTCTACTTGTTATAGAGTTTGTAAGCGAACAGCTGGATCCTGATCAGACTGCGCAGATGCGCAGGCTGGTCTGGATCCATGCTGGTCGCAAACGCAGTAGGTTGGTTTTGTTGTGACTTGGCTCATATGTATGATCATATGATGTCAGTATCAATTGTGAGTGCATTATTATGATAGTATAATGCACAGTTTCAGTTTAAATGTGCAAGAATATAATCAGGAAGGCCTATTAATTACAAAGCAATTGAACCATAAACTATGCTTTTTTTTTCTACAATGCAAGTAAAATGAATATCTATTTCCATTCTAACATGGTTTATAAAGAGAATGGATAAAAATATGCTGAGCTGCATTGATATGTATGCATTCCTTTTTAAGCTCGAATAAGTAGAGCTATCCTGGTCACCAGAGCGTTTTGCGTATCCATTATCAGAGGTTTCAATGTCAATATCTGACAAAGTTCTTGACCACCCTACTTTCCTTTTACGGAAAGAAGGGGGGGGGGGTGGCATGTTTTACCCTTTAACAACCCACAATTTTTTTCTTTTTAGGGCCTTTAACTAAAACCAGAGAATATTTGAGAAATGTCTGTTTAACTGTGGATTATTTTAAGATTATTTATTGTATGTCAAAGATGGTAATTTACTTACTTTATTTAGGTTGTGTTCCCGTGACGATTCGACCACCCCACCCGCAGAATGTTTCAACCACATTGCCTACAGTTAAAATGATAGTTGACGTCTCGAAGTCCTCTGCTATTATGACAAGTAGCAACATTATTAAATTACTCCGGACTAAGGTAAAATTACTCCAAATTTATTGTACGTTTTTGTTAGTTAGCATTATGCTTCACAAGTTTGTTGTTTAAATCAGCAGTTTTCCAAGCTAAGGTTCTAATGATCCAGGGAGCACGGACTTGAAAGTGGTTTGAATAAACTATAACCTTTATTTTCACAGTCAAACTCTTATAAATAATGTTTGTGCTAAATATTAGTGACTTAGGACTATATAAAATTTTACTTGTTATGTGCAGTCAACTGCAAATTCTTCAAATTTCCCGTTCAGGCTGAAGAGCCTTCTTCAGGGAGCATAAATAAATAGTAAACAATAAATAGGAAAACCATGTCAGTGTCACTTGGTATGTGCAGAAAAAGTAAGAAATATTTGAGGGAATTTTGTAAGAATTTTTCCCACTGTTAGGGGTTTTTGCTGTGAATATTACGTGTTTTCATGAAATTAATCCCCCAAAGACAAAAATCATTTTGTTTAAATTGTGACAATGTTCTAACATTTCGAACAAGTTTGAAGTATACAAGTGGTCTACATTTTAAGGTATATGTACACACACAAAAATCATAAAGTTTTGCTGCTATGAAAATAATAGTTTGATACTATGTACAATATAACATAGTCCCATTAAATTTAATATATTATTTCTGTCACAGGAGGCAATAGGAGTTGTTGACTCGAGGGCGTGGCCTACCCTGCTAGACTCGGATGATTTGCCAAAGAAGAAATTGACCGCTATATACAAGGCTCCAACTCCCGAGATGATTTGTTATCTAGATTTTAGTGTCTCAACAACTGGCATGTTAGCTGGTGTCAAGGTCAGTAAAAATATATAGATAAAAATTGCCTAAATATTTAGTTATGCAAGAACAATTGAGGTCAATTTAGTGCATTTTGTGCCATCCCTTCAACAGTTCAGTTGGAAAGTGAAAATGACTGAATTGTAGTTATCATAACCATTCATACCGCCTCCGTGGTCGAGGGGTTAGAGTCGATGACTTCTAATCCAGTTACAATACCTCTCTGGTGTGGGTTCGATCCCCGCGAGATGCTTTGGTAGTTTAGCGCGGAGGAAGGTTGTCTAGTACTGGTGTAACTCTCCAGGAACGATGGTTAGGAAACTACCCGCCTATATGACTGAAATACTGTTGGGAAAAGGCGTAAAATAAAAAACAAACAAACAATAACCATTCATATTTCAATGGAAATAAAAATATTGCTTGAATGGTAAACAAATTTACAAATTAAATTTTTAGCTCAACTATTCAAAGAATGGTACCAACACCAGTATCGTACTTTGGTTAAGATTTTGCATGCAAGTTTATATCTCGAGAACTACTGAATTGAATGGGGAGAAACTTCACAAGCTTATTTTAGAGCATTAAAGGAGGTCACTTTCCAAGGCCCATAACTATAACATGGATTTTAAGAGAAATTTGGCCCATTTTCAACTTAGAAAATTCTACATTATCCATACAGTTGTTTTACTATTTAGTAATGAAAAAAGTTGAGCATGCTGTCGTACCCACAGCTTTTGCTTCAATTAAAACTGATAATGTTTTCTTTTCTAAGTAGAATTGAATAAAAATATTGAAATCTCCATTAAAATGTTAAATCTTTGAAAAAAAAAAAAAAAAAGGAATATAGTTTGTCAGTTTTCTTATATATGTAGTTTGTACCAGTAAGTATATTTGACATATCACTCATTTACAGATGTCACATGCTGCAGCGACAGCATTATGTAGATGTATAAAGTTGCAGTGTGAATTCTACCCTTCTAGAGAAGCCTGCCTTTGTTTAGATCCATACAGTGGGCTAGGATTTGCTCTCTGGGCGTTATCTAGGTAGATATATTTTGTATTTTTAAGTCTTTTTGAATTGATACTTTAATATATGAATAATGACAATTAATTTTATATTCTTTTTCTTGTCTGTAAAAAGCTAAACCCATTTTTGATGCTAGTAAGGTGTCATGACTTGGTGTTATTCACTAAACAGGGAGAGAAAGTGTAAACTGGCTTGATTGCAGGGCTTGTAGAACTCAAAAGTGTCTCAAAAGTGTATTCGAAACGTGTTCCTATTTCAGGCTACTCATAAAGACCCTGAGGGACCTTGAACATATTGTCAGGTTTTTGAAAATTTTGGAAATTTCACGATAAATTTATATTTAATCTATTCTGTTATTTCTGGTTGTGATCTTCATTTGACAAATGTTCTTGACCCCTGAAGGACCTTGAACTTATGTTCAGATTTTCAAAATCCTGGAATTTTCACTAGAAATTGATTATTAACTTATAAGTGGTTTGAGGTACTAAAAGAAGTGTGTTAGTGACACAGGAAAGGTGGTTAGGTGGATCAACTGCTGAGATATGACCAAAATGTGTTAATATTTGCATAAGAAAAAAAGAAACAAAAAACATCGCTTGTAGCATATACGTTATTGTCAAATATTGATAAATAATATCAGAATTTTAAAGGGACGGATATATATTGTATATTTCAGTATATATTCGGGTCATCACTCATTGTTAGTACCCCCATCAGAAGTAGAGGCAAACCCAGCTGTATGGCTTTCTGCTGTCAGTATGTACAAAGGTAAGAGTCTCGACCAGGTTTTTAAACTTATTTCATGTAAGGTAGCTCTTCAGAATAGGTCTTTAAGCTTAAATCATGTACTTATTACAGTAACAATGTACAAGCGGGGAAAATTAGTGTTTAGTTTATGCAGAATATATTTTAGTCGATTGTGTACGAAGCGATAAGCTCGTGAAAAGTGTTCTTTTGTTTCTTTACCAATTAAGTATGACAGTTCTGGTATTCTTATGCCCCTAGAAAGAGGGTGGGAGGGACATTTAGGGTTTTTTTTATGCCCCACCTAAAGGGTGAGGGGGGGATACAGATTTTTCTGTCCATCTTGCTATCATGCTTTGAAATGTGGGGACATAATGCATCCTATGAACAAATTTCTAGTTTAAGGTAATTTATGATTTGAATATATAGGAAATAAAAACCAAAATACAATGAAGTTTATATGTTATATATTTCAGTACGAGACACATTCTGTTCATATGGAGTGATGGATCTGTGTACTAGAGGCCTAGGTACTTCAACAGCTGCTCTTAAGGTAATCTTTATATACAAGAAAATATTGAAAATATTATGATGAAAATATGACAATAATTTTTTTTTTATTACCTAGATTTTCCAATAAAAAATGTTAGGTAATTAGATTGGTGGAGTTCTTTGGGCAGTGAGGAGGCTTAAGAAAATTTTTAAAGCATATGTTTCTTATATTTCTCTTTGGGTTTCAATTAAACTTGCACACAAAATGATTTATGTTCAAGTTTACTGATGAATATTTTGAGGATTTTATGATTTGATAATTTTTTTGAGCAGAATGATGGGTCTATTGTTATTCTTTATTCTTCACATGCAATTTTGGTAGAAAGATATGCATTTGATATAGATATTGAACTCTGATTATTGAAACAAAGGCTATATGAGGTACAATATGCATTTGATATGAATTTTTGGACTCGGAAAATGGAATCAAGGCTAATTGATAAGATTTGAGCCAATAATGATTTCTACCGAACATCACATGGTTCAAATCCTGAAAGTTCATTTGTTACATATTATATAAAGTGTTTAATGAATTTCATGCATTTTGTAACTTTCAGGCTAAAGGATTAAACCTATCATGTGTTCGTATATGTTGTGTGATAGCTGAAGAGCGACCTCGTATTCAGCTCACCTCATCTTTCACCAAATTGTTCGCTGATCTAGGACTCTCGTATCGAGCCGTCAGCACAAGTTTCGGTTGCAGAGTTAATATTGGCATATCATTTCCGGTAAGTATTAAAAATATATATTAATAATCTGGTATTAAAAATATACCACGCATCGTCTCATTTAAATGATATTTAATACACCGCGTGTTAGTATCTCAACTTCAGTTAGGAAATTCTCGGTGAAAGAATGGATTTATTTTTTGTCCAGTCTGTGGACAAGTTCAAAATCTTTATTCTGGAAACTACATGCAAAAATTTTACATTGTAAGAGTCGACAACATTTTGATTTGAAGGACTGAATGATTGTACTTGAATAGATTCAGAGGCCCCTCTTAGAATTACATATTAAGTTTCACATTTCCTCAACCCAGTGCAGTAACAGGTTAACTCTTATTTAATTTAGTAAGAGTAAACTCAAAACAAACATTAAGGATGACTATTTTAGAAATGATATAAATTATACGCTGTGATATTTCAGGGTGCGGCATGTCCAGAACCTAGTACTGTGTTTGTAGATTTGAGGGCATTAAGGAATGACAGAGTTACCCTGGTAGAGAAAGGTAGTCCCCATAGTTTATGTCTCATGGAATCTGGCAAGGTAAGCAACATTTTTGGCTATTGTCTATAACAATAAACAATTTCCTATTTCAAATATTGTGATATATATATTTTCAAAATTAAATTCTTCATTCTATAAAAGCTTTGTCAAACACTGTTAGGTTTTGTTAAGATCTGGTACTACATTCAGAGATACTATAAACTTTGTCAAATACTGGTTGGTTTTGTTAAGATATGGTACACCATTTGGTGGTACAATGTACTATAAAAACTTTGTCAACAGCTGTTACTAGTGTAAGGTTTTGTTTAGATCTGGTACACCATTTGTTTGAAAAATCTCTTGTTTTCTTTTATTCATAGTGTACTTTGATATGTGTATTTGTATATTGGACCTACATGGCTGAGTGGTTAGGGTCATCAGCCTCAAGCCATTTGCCCCTCACCACTGTGGGTTCATATCCCGCCAATGGCATTAATTCTTTCATGTGAGAAAGCTATCCAGCTAGCTTATGGAGGGTTTGTGCTTCTGATCAAGTATTTAAGATAGCTGACTTTCTGCTGACTGTTCTGGGTTCAAGTCCTGCCAGGGACATTGTATACATTATTGTGGAGAAGCTAGCTTTGGCATGGTCTCTGGATCTCCTTATAATATCACTGTATTTAATACCCAAGATTTGATATAGATGGGTTTTTTTCTGCCACAAATTACAGATGTATATTATTTGTAGTATTTTCATGATTGAATATTTTATTTTGTTTCAGTTATTACCAGGTGTAAAAGTCGCTATAGCAAATCCAGAAACTAAAGGACAGTGTGCCGATTCTCATCTGGGAGAGGTGAACATTCTTTATTATTTATTCAAATTTGTTTATATCAAACAAAGCAGTGCATAGGGACCTGGGTTGCGTTTCATGGAAACTATTTAGTCTAAAATATGTCTTAACACCAAACTGATGGAAGCTTAAGAAATAAAGATACAAAGACATAAAAAGAATGCATTTAGCAGGTAAAGAAAGTTTTTGTATAAGCTTTCACTATGCATTAAATATGGAGTTTATTCTGTTACAGATCTGGGTAGCTAGTCCTCACAACGCAAATGGATATTTCACAATCTACGGTGATGATTCACTCCATCCTGACCACTTTGACGCGAGCCTGGCTACAGGTGATACACAGTCATCTTACGCTAGGACGGGGTACCTGGGTTTCGTACGAAGGACGGAGCTCACTCAAAGTGATGGAGGTATGCATGCTCTAATAAATATCAACTCTTGAGACACAACTTATATTATTAGCTTGTCTATTCCGAACAAATGTCGAGCTATTGAGATTGCTTGCATCGTCATTGTCGATACCGTCATGTAGAAACTTTGATATAGATTGTTAGCTCTTCCAAAGAAAAAAAGTATAGCTATTTAACAATAATATGAAAATCAAATGAACTGCAACAAATCTGGGGCCACTGAAATTTTGATGATGTGTGTTAGCAGCCTCATTAAAAAATACAACTTTTGGCAACATGTATAAACATTAGCAGCAGAAATACAAATAATTGATCTGACAAGTTCAATGATATGTAAAACCAGTCATCAAGACCAACTCAATGCCCTTTATCCAATTTACATTCTTTATTTATTGTTGGTTTCTTTTTATATCAAGACTTTGTTATATTTCAAGGACGTCATGATGCCTTGTTTGTGGTTGGTTCCCTGGACGAGACTGTTATGTTGAGAGGCATGAGGTACCATCCTATTGACATAGAAACAAGTGTGTTACGCTCACATAGAAAAATCTGTGAATGGTGAGAAACGTTTCTTTTCTTTTTCTTGTTGTTGTAGTTGTGATATAATGATGTTTCTTTAACCCTTAAATTTATAGACGGATACTTTGGATATGGTCATGTAAAAAAGCTATAAAGCAACAATAGAAGGTTGATGGTTAAGGCCCGATGTTATGCATGAATAGATGTCTGCTTTCTTCCTGCTCCATGGTCATTTCTATATATACAATGTATAAAAATATTTTTGTGGGGGCATGGTCAAGTGGTTCATGTCTAAGACTAGTAATCAAAGGATTGAGGACCACGTGGGTTCATACCCTGTCAGGAGCAAGTGGTAGTGTCCTTTAGCCAGAAAGTTTATATTACTATGTAATGACTGGTTCCAGGAATGGATTCGAAAGTATTTGAATAAGTTTATGGTTTCTAATACAATCAAGCTAAAATAATTTTTTTATAAACTATAACTATAATATTTAAAGTATTAGTGATACTAGGGTGTATTTTGCACAGACAATGAAGTTATTGCCCTGCCTGGCAAAGTTATTGTGACTACCATTATATATAACATAATTCCATGTTGCTTATTAACACAATATTTTCAATACAATACTTCTTGCTTGGTATTGTTTGTTAGTGTTTTTTGTTGTTTTTTTGTTGCTTTTTTTTGTAAATAAGTATACAGTGTAACTTCTGAAGTACGAAACTTATAAAATCTGGAAACTTCTGAATTGGAAAAATTTTCAGGGTCCCTCCTCTCCTGTTTTCTCTGTAATTCATTACTGAATTCCAGAACATCTAATTCTGAATTCCAAACAATTTTCAGGTAAAATTTAAGTTACATCTATTAAAATTTACTTCCAAAATCAGGAAATTGAAAAGGGTGTATGTCAATAAGAATATATTAAGGCTTGTACTGCCTTCAAGAAATGTTCTTCATTATCTGTAATTGTTGTTTTAATGATATCTGCAACTAGATTTATGACACTAACATCACTTACAGAAAACAAACAAATATAGCTCAATTAAAGTAACATGGAATCATTCTTCTTTGTTTTCCAGTGCTGTGTTTACATGGACAAATTTGTTAGTAGTTGTCGTGGAATTAGACGGAAATGAAAACGAGGCTCTAGACTTAGTTCCCTTAGTTACGAATTCTGTACTTGAAGAACATTACCTTATCGTGGGAGTTGTTGTTGTTGTGGATCCAGGAATAATTCCGATCAATTCACGTGGAGAGAAACAACGGATGCATCTACGAGACGGATTTTTAGCCGATCAACTCGACCCAATTTATGTCGCTTATAATATGTGAGATCATCGGACAGGAGTGTTGACAGAAAATTAAACGGAAATTATTGAGATAGTTTTGTTAATTGGTTAGATAGATAGTTAAAAAAATGATCAGAAACACTAAAAATGGGATGAAAATCGTTATATAGTGCTGAATGTATAATGACAAACAACTTTTATTGTTATTGCTGAAGTCAAGAAAATGCTGATTATGATAAACAAATTTATTATGTACTCTAAGGTTAGGGATTTAATAGATTTATTTAGTCAATGATTAATTAATCTGTTAAAGATTTATAGGAGTTACATTTTAGTTCATTTCATGAACACTTTTTCATGATTGATAATTTCATTTCCATGAATGAAATTATGAATGGTCATTTCATTCAATGGTTGAAAACTTCTTTTCCATGAAAGCTATTGCCATTTCCTTGCTTGCAACTTCTTTTCCATGATTAATTATTTCTTTTCCATGGCTGAAAATGTCTTTTCTATGAAAGATATTGCCATTACCATTCCTAATCATTTCTTTTCCATGAATGGTTAATTTCTTTTCCATGAATGATAATTTCTTTTCCATTGTTGAAAGATATTGTCATTTCTGTGGTTAAAAACTTCATTTCCATTAATACTACTTTAAAGGAACTCCACTGAGGTCCAAAGGCCTAAAAACATAAAATTTAAAGATCTTTCAAATATCAAGTGAAGCACTTAAAATGAAAAACTATGGAAAGGATAACAAAGAAATATACTCAGAAATAAAATATAAATTGATTTTTATGTGATTCTTAGCCAGATTTGAGTGAAAAACGTTGGTCATTTTGCACAATAAAAATGACTGTTCTGGAAAACCAAAGTGTGGGAATGACCTGAAAATTTACACAAAAGTTATTGGTTCACACCATCATCAATTTTTACACAAATCTCAGAAAAAAATATTTTCAGTCCGGTCATGTTAAAAAATCTCAGTGGAGTCCCTTTAATAACATAATTAATAGTCATTTTCATATGACATCTCTTAAGATGTTCATTATTCTACTAGAGGGTAAAATATTGTTTATTCTGCAAGAAAAAAGCTAAGCTAATACACTAGAGAAATTGTTTAGTTCCATACACCCATAAACACTTCTGATATGAACCTCTTAAATAAATGAGGAATATCGAGTAAAAAAATATGAGTTCAAGTAAAATCGATATCTCTTATGCTAAAACAATGCAAATTAAGTCATTTTTAAATCGCTAGGTTGTTGTGATTTAATGTCCAATTTTAAAATGTATTACACCAATGGAAAGCTTTGGATCTTAGCTTCATCACAGTATAAATTTCAACACATCTTTTGACACCAAAGTATTTAAATTAACTGTTAGACCTACCATATGTCAGACCATTTTACATACGATTTATATAGTGAGATACACAACTGGTAATCTTTACTGAAAATACTACTGATAAGAATAGCCTGTCGTCTGCTAGTTCAGGAAGTGTTTATCGGTGTATTGAGATATTGCAGACAATAAGGTTACCTATGATCATATGATGGATATATGTTTGTATTTATTTTGTATCGAGAGAAAGCCCTTTATTATATTATAGTATTATTATTCTTATTACAAGGTAAAATATGAAGCATTATATGCAGATTATTTATATGAATATAGTCATAGAAAAAAATAAGCATAACTTTCTATAACAGCAATATACCTCCAGGTGTTTTTTTGTGTTTTTTTTATTAGAAATTTAGAAAAATGTTTCTTTAATGTTGAAAAACATTGTCTAGTAAACTAATGCATTGATTAAACTTAGCCTACATGTAGGGCAACTAAAATCACAAATATAGCCTATTAAAGGTAAAATTATCCTAACGCAATCAAAATTCACAAATATATGCGACAAAGTTGTCAAAATATGCAAAAACAGTTACAAATTACTGGTCCAGACCTTCATAAATTCAAAATCTTTGAAAAATATTTCCAATCCCGTCATTTCAAAAAACCCGAATGGAGTCCCTTTAAACTTTGAATGGACTGTTCTAAATTTAAAGAAGGGCTAAATTTGTCTATCTGGAGGTATAAAGTTTTAAAGCATAATATATTCAGCTTTTTATATCTTGGTTATTTTCCATGCCAAGCCTTTTTTACAGCTTTATACACATATAGCATACATCGTCACTTAAATGCAGTAATGCGTTAACTCATTATGTAATTAAATAGGAGTTAACCTGTTACTGCACTAAGGTGACAAATATATATATATAGATAATAAAAAAAAATACCATGACAAAAGTAAATTCATGTGCCAATCACAAACATTATATCTCTTGTAGATACAGATATACTTTGCATATATCAATATACGGTATGAATGAAATTATTAGGAAAATTACTGTATGAAGTTTATAATAAGTGTCCTACCACTTGCAAAAAAAAACCCATCTTTTTTACCTTCATTCTTGTGCTGCATTTTTCTTGCATTCTTTTTGCCAATATGAATTATTTTCTTTTGATTAGAATCATTTAAGGTGTTTCTATTATTCTACTTTACCCCCCCCCCCCCCCCAACCCACAAAGTGTCTTTTTGTATTATTTTCATTCAATATCTATATAGGCATATTTGAAATTGGCAATTTATGTTACTGGTATAAAGTCCTTACTTTGTAACAGAAGTCGTGAAATCTAACAGTAAGAATACTTTATCAATGGTCAAAGGGAAGTAATCAGTTATTGACAGAATACATTATCAATGGTCAAAGGGAAGTAATCAGTTGTTGACAAAATACATTATCAATGATCAAAGGGAAGTAATCAGTTGTTGACAAAATACATTATCAATGGTCAAAGGGAAGTAATCAGTTGTTGGAAATTGATGATTAACTCCCTTAAATTTAATGCTGCAATCACGAAGTTCAACTTGTTATATTTTCTTTTAAAGTCATTGTTTATTGATGCGTAAATTTGTTGTTTAGAATAAATGTTGTATGTAATTATGTAGATAAAAAAACACCCCAAAACCAATGTCAAAGTCATAATGTAAATATGATAAGAAAACTTTGTTTACTGAATATTTATTGTATAAAAATGTACATTTTCATAAAAGAGAGAGAGTTGGGGAATAGAAAATTAGAAGAAAATTTAAACATATCTAGAGTATTTGTACATAGAATATAGAGTGAAAGAGATAGTGTGACTTGTGATTAGAATGTATAGACTCAAGGTGATAATTTGACTTAAAAAAGCTAGATTCAGATTACAATACTTGAAAGATTACGGACATTATTAAGGTTAATTTGTTATAAGATATACGTTTAGGATAACAAGTTTTTAAGAAACAATGTACTGTAGAACTGGTTTTATTTGTGTTTGATTAATTTCCTCTAAAATTTAGGAATCAGTACCTTTGCAAATTCACAGTTATCGTGAATAAGTATGTTGGCAGGAAATTGCGGAGGAAAAAAAGATTTGGAAAAAAATAAAGATCTAATTTTTGTCTGCAACACTTGCTAAATATGATGATGACTTGAATCCATAAATACGCGAATAAAGAAAAATACACTTTGTGGACCAAAAAAAAGGTAAAATTCACTAAAGTTCTCAAACTCATATACAGTTTTGTGTTTCGTCATATACTTTCCAGTCAACTAACAGATGGTCTGTGGTTTTACTCAGGTGTCCCATTTTCACCTGAAATAATACACGGTAGGGCACCTGCATGTTCCTGCAACAGTGAAAACTAGAATGTCGCCGCATGACCATTACAATGCTGATGCGACTGAAAACTTCACGTAAGAAAGAGCGTAATTATTAAGTCTTTTAGATGTGGTCAAACAAAGAGGAAATTTCGTGTGCAGTCTTAAATCTGATATGCATTATAGTGTGTGAATTAAACTAGAAAGTTTGTTTTGTTTTGTCGTATAACACATAAACCTATTTTAATAGACAGATGTAATGTTGAGCCGCACAAGTTATATATTTTTTTGTATTTTGTTCGTTTTTTTGTTATTTAACCCCTTGACCAAACTGACGCCGACTGAAAGTACCCATGTGGCTAGTACAGACCAGGAACAGTTGGCATGCCGGTGCTGTCTGAACATGGTATGCAATGTTCGAGTCTCAGTCAGTACAGATTTTGAAATTTTCTTCAAAAAATATGAATGATTTTTGTCCAGAATGAAAAATGGACGGGAACATTTTAGATATCAAACGTGGTAAGGGTTGAATGTTTAATCCGAGCACTATCTTAACTATGTTTTGGTGCAGTTAGTATTGTTTTTAATTTCTGTGTCGTTGTTATTAAAATATTATTTGATTTCTTTTTCCGTTCTAAATATAGAACAGCTGTTTTTGTTTTTTGATATTTACTATAATTATATGTGCAATATTATGCTAGTGTTGTTGAATGGTAAAAGTATTCTTTTTTTTTATTAGTTTGAAATATTGAGAAAGAAATAAAATTTATTCTGGAAATATAGGGTTGATGGTCTTATAAGTCAATGTGTAGAGTTGTTAAGATAATAAATTTTTGCGATCAATTTCATATTTTTATTTTTTTGTGTTATTTTGTACACAGTTTCTGGATAACTGGTTTTTGATTTTCTAGTTAATTGGTAAAAAGACATAATAATGTTCATTATAAAAATCTAGATCTGATCTTTATTATTGTTTTATTTAACTGCTTGTGTGATAATAATAATTATGTTTACAGAATTTTCCACTTCCATTTTTCATGATTTGTGTTTTGTTTGTTTATTGTGCTCCGTTTTTGTTTAAAAAATAAAATCAATTGCAATTTTGTTGAAAAAATTTAAATTTCTCAATACATTTTTGTTCACCATTAACCTCCTGAATATTATTTAGTGGACTTTTCCAGCTTTCAGTTTTGGAACTGTCCATTATCAATTATAGGGATATCAAGATGAAGATTTGAAGTTAATATGAGCCGCGTCATGACAAAACCAACATAATGGGTTTGTGACCAGCATGGATCCAGACCAGCCTGCACATCCGTGCAGTCTGATCAGGATCCATGCTGTTCACTTACAAAGTCTATAACAAGTAGTGAAACTGATAGCGAACAGCATGGATCCTGATCAGACTGCGCGGATGCGCAGGCTGGTCTGGATCCATGCTGGTCGCAAACCCATTATGTTGGTTTTGTCGTGACACGGCTCTTAATGTTAACAGTATATAGGCTGGTCTCTCAGTACAGGTGGTCAGGCTGGCCAGGTTCTATACTGGTGGCACTGATCTGTCACTTTCCATTCCAGATAGTTTAAGATATAATGTAATTAACAATCCTATTACTTGTCATTCTGTAGTCAAAGTGGTCTCGCATAAAATCTGCATAAATCTACAGTTCAGAAGCGATTTTGTAGAAATTTGATCAGATTTTGGGTTTTACTTATCTAATGGGCATTTTTTACATAAAAAAAAAATATTTCTTTTTACATTTTTTTTTTTTTTTTTTTTTTTTTAAAATCTGGCCATGTCAAGTTGTTAGGCTGACAAATCTGGGATTTATTCTGTTAATTCTTTTATATGTTACGTACCCTAAAAAAACC